TTAAGCACATTAGGAATTTAGGCATCAAACTGATTTATAATAAGGCAAATGATTGCCCACGCAGGGGCTGCAACATTGATCTAACACAGTATTCCTTTGGTTGCCTGTGCAGAGGCGGATTTGTTTTAAATGTTTCATTTGTATTTGGCGTTGCAAGTACAAGCAGGTAGTCATTCTTGTTTCATGGAAAGCTTATGGTTGCCTGCGCAGAGGCGTTTCAGATAAAACGTGCAGGTACATTAGGAACTAGGATTTGCAACAGATACTTGCTCTACTAATCTACATGACTTCGTTCAGGTTGTGGGTTTAGACTATTTTTCCCATTTGTCTTGTTGTTTGTCATCTAGCTGTGTGTTGCTACGGGTAGACAGGTAAACGGAGTTGTTACCAGAGAGGCATGGTGGTGATGGCGTGAAGGTCTAAGGCTAGTCTTGGGGCGTGATTTCCCATTTCCCTTGGGGGCTTTGGTGGGTATTCAACTTGTGTGTCTGTGGATGGTGCGTTGTTTGTGTTTTGTCTCTGTGCGTGGGGCGTGAACCGTGCGCCCAGGTGGTGATTGTCGTCATTGTTTTAGGTTTCCCGGGCGGTCGTTATGATGCCCGGGGCCCTTTGTGGCTGCGTTGTTTATGTTCTGTGTTGGTGGTCTAGGGAAAATCACCTATTTTGTCCCGAGAATTAATTCCTCTTTTTATGAGAATACCTTACTCTCCTTAGCAACATCTTATGGACTTTGTTGTCTCGTTTGTTCTTTATACCTATTCCCAAATCCTTCTCCTGTGTTTTGTTTAAATTCTGAATAAGACTCATGGGGCAAGATTAGATTTCTCTTTACAGGAATAGTATAGGGAGACTGTATAGGGAGACACATGCAGGTGAAATGTGCCTAGGGCTGCATTAACAAAATGCAGAGACTTGAGCAGTGAGACTGCAGGGTGTTGATCGGTATACCAAAACCACATCATTCGTTTTGGTGATTATAGTGAACTTTGTATATTTTTTTAATCTTTCAATTTATATAAAAACAACTTAGGTTGATTCATCCTCTCACTGGAGCTATATAATGTAAAATTCTGTTTCCATTTCAGGTCACTCTGGTCCAGAGATTGAGAAGAAGCCCTCCTCTGCTCCTGCGGCACCATCACATTCTGAAAAGAGGCTTTCCTTTGATGGTAGGTTATTGCGTCTATAAGTGCCTGGGTTGCTGCTTGTGTCCATCCTCTGAATGCTCTGTTTTGTTTTTCTGCTGGTCAGAGGATGCACAGAGCTTCCAGACATCTCCAGATAAGAAAGGTAATGGCACTGTGTAGGAAAGACACCCAGTGGGGTCAGGGTGTGGATGACATTGTCAGTAAGGATTTAAAGCACGGTAAAGTCACATACACAGTTTAGGTAGTATATACCGTGAGGATTTTGAGTAATTCTAGAGGGACTCGCCGTGAGGATTTACAGCATTTTGGTAAAGGGATACCTAGTGAGAAGATAGAATACCGTGATTTTTATCTCTGTTTATTGTCTAAGACCTAGATGACCCTCTGGCTGGACTCTTGTCTGATGAAGATAATGGAAATGCCAAGATGACAAAAACTACTGGTTATGTGCCAACTCATGAATCTGTCCCCTTAAAGAACGCAGGTAGGAAAGGATGACAAACATAATGTAATGTAGCACTGTATAAGGTATGAAGTGGAAGTTAGGTTTGGTACGCAGGTGTGATTATGGGTATTTTCCATTAAAATGATTGCACTGTGTTTTTTAGGCATCGAAACAACTTTAGCTTAATGAAGCAGTTTTAGTATATAGACCATGTCCCTGCAGTCTCTTTGCTCAATTCTCTGCCATTTAGGCGTTAAATAACTCTTGTTTATTTTTATGCAGCTCTGGCCATACCTCCCCTGGCAGTGACTAACATCGCAGAAGATTTAAAAAAAGGTCTAAATTAAACAGACTGTGCTGCTAAAAATGAAGTTTAAACATTGCATCTCTCTTTACAGGAAGTGTTTTGGAAGGCTGTGCAAGTCACATACAAGGATGTGTTTCTAGGACTGTATGAAAAAGTGATTTAACTTTGAGCAGTGAGACTGCAGGGGTATGATCTATACACCAAAAATTTGTAATTAAGCGAAAGTTATTTTGGTGTTTATAGTGTCCCTTTAAATCAAGAAAGCAGAAAGACTTCATGATGGGTGTTCTGTCTATTAGGCTTCTAGTTAACAGGCTGTGCAGTGATGTTCTCATCTTCTGACTTAATTCTACAATTCTATTCACAGGCACACCTCTCTCCAGCCCCGTGAGACCATCTCCAGGCTCTCGCAGGAAGGAAGTTCTCACATTTGACGATGACACTGATGACATCATGGATGCCTTGGGCTTTGGAGACAGCCCACAAACACCTCAGAAAAAAGAGAGGTATCAACTGCCACATACAGGCAAACCCCAAAGACTGTATATATAATAAAGTGCAAGAGTTTGTAGCCCGCAGGTATTATGATAAAATGTTTGCTAGTTACTCACTTAACTTAAACTCAGCATTTTTTTATTTATTTATGGGAAACATTCGTCTAAATTAGATTTAGGATCATTTCTATTATTTTTGGGCTTCAATGGCAGAGTTCAAGAAAACCACATTTCTTTGGTTCTGAACACTTCGCAGTTCCTATGCTTCCTGGCTGATGTTTTGGTCACTTTTGAATTCTGGCGGTGCTTTCACTCTAGTGGTAGCATGAGACAGAGTCTACAACCCACACAAGTGGCTCAGGTAGTGCAGCTCATCCAGGATGGCACATCAATGCGAGCTGTGGCAAGAAGGTTTGCTGTGGCAAGAAGGTTTGCTGTGTCTGTCAGCGTAGTGTCCAGAGCATGGATGCGCTACTAGGCCAGTACATCAGGAGACATGGAGGAGGCCGTAGGAGGGAAACAACCCAGCAGCAGGACCGCTACCTCCGCCTTTGTGCAAGGAGGAACAGGAGGAGCACTACCAGAGCCGTGCAAAATGACCTCCAGCAGGCCACAGATGTGCATGTGTCTGCTCAAATGGTCAGAAACAGACACCATGAGGGTGGTATGAGGGCCCGACGTCCACAGGTGGGGGTTGTGCTTACAGCCCAACACCGTGCAGGATGTTTGGCATTTGCCAGAGAACACCAAGATTGGCAAATTCGCCACTGGCGCCCTGTGCTCTTCACAGATGAAAGCAGGTTCCCACTGAGCACATGTGACAGAGTCTGGAGACGCCATGGAGAACGTTCTACTGCCTGCAACATCCTCCTGCATGACCGGTTTGGCAGTGGGTAAGTAATGGTGTGGGGTGGCATTTCTTTGGGGAGCAGCACAGCCCTCCATGTGCTCGCCAGAGGTAGCCTGACTGCCATTAGATACCGAGATGAGATCCTCAGACCCCTTTTGAGACCAAATGCTGGTGCGGTTGGCCCTGGGTTCCTCCTAATGCAAGACAATGCTAGACCTCATGTGGCTGGAGTGTGTCAGCAGTTCCTGCAAGACTAAGGCATTTATGCTATGGACTGGCCCGCATGTTCCCCAAAATTGAATCCAATTGAGCACATCTGGGACATCATGTTTCGCTCCATCCACCAATGTCACGTTGCACCACAGACTGTCCAGGAGTTGGCAGATGCTTTAGTCCAGGTCTGGGAGGAGATCCCTCAGGAGACCATCCGCCACCTCATCAGGAGCATGCACAGGCATTGTAGGGAGGTCATACAGGCACGTGGAGGCCACACACACACACTACTGAGCCTCATTTTGATTTGTTTTAAGGACATTACATGAAAGTTGGATCAGCCTGTAGTGTGTTTTTCCACTTTAATTTTCAGTGTGACTCCAAATCCAGACCTCCATGGGTTGAAAAATGTGATTTCCATTTGTTAATTTTTGTGTGATTTTGTTGTCAGCACATTCAACTATGTAAAGAACAAAGTATTTCAGAAGAATATTTAATTCATTCAGATCTAGGATGTGTTATTTTTGTGTTCCTTTTATTTTTTTGAGCAGTGTGTGTGTGTGTGTGTGTGTGTGTGTGTGTATATATATATATATATATTTATTATTTATTTTATTTTTTAATTTACTTATTTTATTATTATTATTTTTTTTTCATTAATAGCATCAGATATTATGGATTTGGGTGTAGAGGGGAGTGTCTAATGGTAAGAATCATTATTTTACAGGTATTGGTTTTCTTGGCCACATAGTCATTATTATTAGGGTGAGCCGTTGGTAGGATACTTTTATGTGAAGGGTATTGCTGTGGGTTTGGGGAACCCTAGTAACCTGGACTGGGAACTTAAAAACAATTTGGGGATTTGGACATTATCATGTCCACCCGCTTGTATATTTAATTAGAGCCCCCACGTGGAAAGTGGGAAGATATTAGGTTCCACCTCCCATGTATTATATTATTAATAACCCCTATTATTTCATTAAAAGGGGTGACTAAGTACCCTCCATCATTTTACAATCCCCACCCCCATAGGATGGGGCATTTCTACAACTGAACAGCAATGACTGCACAGTCTCTAGTGTTGAGTCGCTGTGGCTGCTCACTATTTAGTAGATTTTCCCCACCCATGGCACTTGGGAGCTGGAGGGAGGTTTTACATCTCCATTATACTAATATGAGGATCACATTGACACCCAAACGCTCATATTATTTTTTCCTATTTAATGTGGCAGCTGGCTAGCAGGTGTAGGCTTACTGCCACAGGGTTATTTCTCGCACTGAGGAGGACCTCCACCCGCCAGCAAATAGGCCATTCTGACTTTAGTGAATAGAATTAGTTTGTCGGTCGCAGTAAGTATCTGTCAGCAGTTCTAGCATGAATACTTACAAAGATGTTTTTTTTTATTTATTTTTTTCATCAAGCATATTCAATAAAAGAACAAATGTGTTTCATTGCAGTCCAAAAATACCCAAATGCATGTACAAAATGTACAGCTTATTTAGTATTCCTGCTCCTCTGTACAGCCCTACCACTATTAAAGGAGTAGGACATTCCATTTTGCTACAGAATCTCTAAAAGTTCCTTTTTTGTAATGGAATTCATCTATCATTAGTAATTAAGGGGTTAATGCAGTGCATCTATTAGTGCAGTCTAATAGATAAGAAAGAACTGTCTAAGATCTGCTGTATTCAATTCTACATATTGCCTGATTTAGTGATGTATTTTCCTGTAGTCTAAGTTTTCTACTATTCCATATCAGTCCTGCTACTCCGTATGATTCCTGTTACTCTATATAACTGTGTAGCTCCACCACACGCCCTGCGCGCTCCAAACTGGATGAACTAATGGGACTGGGTACAGCTGCCAAACTCCTGGAGAGGCCTCCAACCGGGGAAAGAAAAGAATTCAAACTTGATCCAAAGTATCAAAAGCAGCCAGGTGAGACGATACGTCCATGCAAACTATACAAACAGCTCATTGTACACTCTAATCTCTTTGTCTGTGGTCTAACATAAAAAGGAGGTAGAGATGTGACCAGGAACATGTGTTTTGACAGAAAAGGAGGACATTCTGGCTGATGAAGATATTGCATTTGGTTCCTACCAGCCCACCATAATAACCAGTCCAGAAGGACGCATGTCTCGGCGCTCATCTGTCAGGTGCAACTTATACGTTTTCTTTCGTCTTATCTGTCTGTATGACTGATCACACAGATATTCTCTACACTCTAGTATCTGAATACATTTTTATTCACCATTACAGAAAATTATATTTTGTTCCATCGTGGACCTTTATTCAACATCTTTCTATCTATTTACACTGGTTACAGATTCTCTGCAGAAAGTAATGAAAATGTAAAGGCTAATGTAAAATCTCAGCCTTCCACTCCAAAGGCCCGAAGTCCATCACGGGGAGATAGAAGTGGGGCTGATTGGCTAGGCTTAAGAGACGATGACATCCTGGATGCAGCACCTTCACTCCCTATGAGAGAGCCGTTGTCTCGATCCTCTGCAGTGACTCCGACATCTACAAGTCGGCCCCAGTCTGGGGCTGAAAATGGTCCCGCAGCTAAACCAAGGGAAAGCAAGCCGGAAGCTGCAAGTAAGTACCAAGAGAAGGAGAAGGATGAGTGGCTAACAAGTGCCCTTGCTCGCAAGAAATCCCAGAAACAGGAAAAAGAGGAGGAGAAACCACAGGCTCACAATGTCACGGCTGAGATTACTGGCAACAGGTGAGAATTATAGAAGTTTTAAAGAGTATTTTAAAATTGTGCTTACTTAATATATAGAATATCAGAGGAAGTATATTTCATTACATTATTGTTAAAGGAGAGATGACTTGTGGACTCGGATATTTGGATTTCCTAATGTTTTATTTAACAGCAAATAATGGTCTAATTGTCCAATGGCTTTCTACCAACCAATGTTCTCTGAAAAATCCACTGATCCAAAATCCCTCCAACAGCATATAAAAGGGGAAAAAGAGAACTCATGGGCTACAACCTTAACGGAACATTCCAATGGAAAACATATTTTTTTTTTTAAATCAATTTAGTAGACATATTCCCAATGAAAACATGCCTGTATTTAATTATGCATTTTCTCATTGGGTTTATATATCTTGTCTGCAGCCTTTGCAAGCCCTCATCTTCAAACCCCGCCCATACTTTCTGTGTCTGCCCAATCACAGACTTCCCACTGCAGCTCAATGAGAAATCTTTGCAAGGCAGGTGCTCTGGGCAGTTATTGCCTCTTGCGTTTATGTCCACTGAGTTAACCAAACCAGGAAGTAACAGGAAAGGTTATTTGATTGACAGACAGGGAAAGTAACAAGGTTAATTTATTAAAAGTGCCAATCTCTATTGAAATCTGCCCTTTTTGTAAAATGAAATAAAGAGGACACACACTCATCATACAGAAAGCACTTCAGCAAACTAAAGTGCTTTAGGGGTCTGAAGTGTCACTTTAAATGGTGACTGATGAGATCTCTAGCTTGCTTTTTTTTTTTTTTAATATCTAGATCTTTAAACACACTGATAGATTATAGCATTACAACCGTTACAATGAGCATGTTTAGCGTGGACTGGTTATATGCACATTACAAATTATGCTATGTGAGCCATATCAACATACTCTGACTAAAACTGAAAGACAAAAAGAACTAAACACATTGTGGGTGATTTATCAGTGTTTTGTCCTTAAAAAAATAAAAGTGGTCTAAAGTATTAAAAGTAGATAAATCTGTACAATCGGCAGGCACATTCCATTGGTGACTCCTCCTCTGTAACATTTTGAACCATTTTTTTTTTTTAATAGAGCACACAGAAAAAAGGAGAGCACCAACAAAAATGTACAAAAACATTATAGCTGCCTAGGCTCCAAATGGCGGTTACATCCTTTAATTTTTTTGCTGTGCACTATTTTTCCGATCCTTGCACATTGATACATTCCCACGTATGGTGTTCCAGCATTACTAGAGCTCACTAACTCACTTTCTTTCTAGCGGTCAAGCCATGTCACTGACAACATCCCAGAAATCAATCCAACCTAGGGCTACAAAGGACAGGGCCTCACCTGTATCTGAGGTATCTGGGTAAGTACCAGTATCACTCTCTGTGACTGCATTTTATAAAGATGTCGGAAAATTAGGTTCTGGCCTTCTCTAGAATGTCAGGTTACATGATCAGGGCATTTTGAATGCCTTCTAGTCACCAAAATAAAATAAAAAACAATTACTTGTTTATGTGTAAAACTTAAACTGGTATCAATCCTTGTTCATATCTCTACAATCATAGAAATGTTTTAATTACATGTTTATTTCATGTTCATGTGCACTCACAGGTTTCCTTTACCCTGGGAGGGTCAACAGAATGTCGGAGTTTCCACTGTTGTCTTTAGTTCCAAGCAAGAGGACGTCCACCAGAAAGGTGCAGGCTTAATAGAAACCCCTTTCATTATAACAGTTATTGAACAAACCCCATAGACACATACATGTAGAATCTTGTAATTGAGCCCAGTATCTCTCACATGCTCTAGATCAGGGTTCCTACCTGATTCTTGGAATGAAATAGATGGCCAGAGAATCATGGGAGTTGTAGTTTAGCAACATCTGGAAGGCCAGAGTTTTGAGAACCCTGCTCTTGATCACGCCTAAATATGTTGTACGTACAATACATTTTAATCCTTCTTCACATTTATTATAAATTCTCCTCTCTGCATATAACACTTCTTTACCACTGCCCACCTACTCTATATTAAACTAGTTTCTCTGCGTTTAACACCTATTTACTACAGCTCTTCTGCATCTTAATGCCTTTCTCTGCACATGCTGCCTGGTTGCCACATTTCTTCTGCTCGCTATCTCCTCTCTGCATATCAGTCTTTTTACTACTTCCCTCTTGTTGCTTTGTAACTCCTCCCTGTGCGTAGAACACCTCTTTTCTCATCCCTCATTCTGCATGCTATAGCACCTTTTTGTGCATATTATAACTTTATCACTGCCCCTTACACCATATTTTACTCCCACTTGCTCACAAGACTGGACTTGTCAATGGGCAGCATTAGCAGCGGTCTACACAAAAAGGGTGTTCTAGTACCTCACTAGGGGAGCTTTGCCTCTTGTTGTTTTTCTTTCACTCTGTATCACACCATTTATATGATCCATATGATAATTCCTTATAACTCCTCCCTTGTCTCCATGAAATACTTCTTTTTTTTTTTTTTTTTGACATTCTTTATTTATTGAGTTTTTCAAGTCAGGATGGGAGACAGAAAAAAGAGAAAGGGGTGGGGGAGGGAAGGGGGTTGACAATTATCAGGTTACAATACATTACATAAACCTTTATAGTGCGTCGTTTCTGTTGGTGGTATAGGGCTGCGTTCAGCGTGTTTCCCTAAGTCAGTGTATTTTTAACTTGCGGCGTGTCCGCCAGGGTGTTTCTCAGTCGGGGGCAGGTGTGCCCTTTGAAATTTAGGCGGTTTTATGTTATTCAGGGACTTGCGGTTATACTCCAGTATTTTTGGTGTGTTGACGTCTTGCTTAGAGGGGGAGGGCGAAAGCTACGTATGTGATCGATTTTTGAGTGCTCAGTCTAATGGGCATTCGAGGTTCTGGTGATGTCTGGTCTTGGCACTGTTTTGCCAAGGGGGGAAGAGGGGGCGGGAGGGAGTCTGAGTTGGAGGTCTAGGGTCTAACAGTGGAGTCAGGGTGGGATTAACAGTGGGTATATCAGGATTCGCTTGGAGGTGCGAGTTTGGGGGTTAAGACCCGTCTCTGTGCCGTGTAGGTAGTCCAGGGGTACCAGAGGAGGGCATATTTGTCCGAGCGTTCCCGCAGGGACGCAGTCATCATTTCCATGTTGTGGATTTCCTCCACCTTATCCACCCACTGTGTGTAGGTGGGTACTGTGCGGCTTTTCCAATGTAGTGGAATGAGGCTTTTGGCAGCGGAGAGCGGGTGTATCGTCAGGGATTTCTTGTATTGTTGTGTAGAAGTGGCTGTGTGGTGGAGTAGCATTGGCAGTGGTTGTAGTGGGAGGTCAGAGTCTGTGATTTCCTTAATCTTTGTGTGTATCAGTTTCCAGAACGGGGCTATGCGGGGGCATGACCACCATATATGGAGATTGGAGCCAGGGGCGGAATTACATCTCCAGCATTCCCCAGAGGCTGTGTCGTGCATATGTTTTAGCACCTCCGGGGTCCTATACCATTGTGTGAGTAATTTATAGCTCATCTCTTGGTATTTGGAGCTTATGGAGCATTTGTGTGTCAAAAGAAAGATTTTCTCCCATTCTTGGGTAGTCAAGTGTGTGCCCGTCTCACGTTCCCATTTTTCTGTAAACCCGAGTGGGCTGTCATTGCTCAGTGACTGTAGGCTTGTGTAGAGGTATGATATCGCATGTTCTATATGTTTCCTGTCTGTGCATAGCCGTTCAAAGTCAGTCAGTTGTCTGTGGATGTGGTCTTTGCCCTGTAGGGTCGTGTAGTAGGTTTTAACCTGGTGGAAGCGGAACCTATCAAGCGGGGTCGGTTGCTGGGTAGTGATGACGTCGGGCAATGGCTTGAGGGTCCTGCCAATGATCCATTGGTGTAAGTAGATCCAGTCCGTCTGGAGGAAGTTCCGAAAGGCCGCGGGGGGGAGGCCCCCCGCAAGATTCGGGTTGTAAGCGATCGGGGTGAGTGGGTTAGGTGATGTGGTGAGTTGGTGGGAAAAGCGCAGCCTACACCAGACTCCGAGGGTGGCATCAATGAGTGGGTTTTGTGTTCGGAGTTCCGCGTGGGTGGCCGATCCAAGCCAGATTCGGGCCGGGATTGCGCCCTGCGACTGCTGGGTCTCCATGAGCACCCATCGTTTGGTGCTTGGGCGTGCATGCCAGTCAACTAGCCTCTGCAGCTGTGTGGCCTGGTAGTATCGCTGCACGGAGGGGAGCCCAGCTTCCCCCGCAACCTTTGGCCGTTCCAGCGTGGTCCTGCGTATGCGGGACACCGAGCGGTTCCATACAAAGCTTCGAATTTCCCGTGTCAGGGTGCGGAAGAATGATTGTGGGATTGTGGTAGGCAGCGTCGCGAATAGGTACAGGAGTCTGGGGAGGACGTTCATCTTCAACGCTTGTATGCGGCCGAACCAGGTGAGGTATTGCGGGGACCATCTGAGGAGATCCTTTTGGATGTTCGCGAGGAGGGGAGGGAAATTCAGTTGATAAAGTTGCGAGAGGTCACGTGGCAGCCAAGTGCCTAGGTACCTCAGCTTGACCGTTCGCCACGCGAGGGCAAACTTTGCGTTCAAGCGTTCAGCCAACCCGGCGTCGTCTAGTAAGGGCAGGGCTTCAGATTTGTCTAGATTTAGTTTCAAATTGGAGACTTGGCGGTAGTCGCGGAACGCCTGGAGGAGATTAGGGATGGAGATGAGGGGTTGTTCTAGGAAGAACAGCATGTCGTCCGCGTACGCTGCCACCTTGTGTACCTCTGCGTCCAGTGTCACCCCCGTAATGCCCCCGTCCTGTCTGACCGCCTCCAGAAATGGTTCTAGAGAGAGGGCAAACAGGAGGGGGGACAGGGGGCAGCCTTGGCGTGTGCCATTGCTGATGGGGAAAGCTTGCGTGAGGGTTCCGTTAATGCGGATCCGCGCCGTCGGCGTCATATACAGTGCTGACACCCAGTTGCATAGCTGGGTACCGAAGCGTAGGTGGCGGAGGGTGGATGTGAGGTATGTCCAGTCTACTCGGTCAAACGCCTTTTCGGCGTCCGTCGAGAGCAGTACAGTCTCGCGTTTCCTGGTTTTCGCTATGTGGATGACGAGTGCACGTATCGTGTCGTCTCTGGCTTCCCTACCCGGAATAAACCCGACTTGATCGGGGTGGATAAGGTCTGGAAGGATCGGGGAGATCCTTCGGGCCAGGGCCTTGGCAAAGAGCTTAAGGTCCGAGTTTAGGAGCGAAATCGGGCGGTAGCTCGAGCAATTAGTCGGGTCCTTACCCTCTTTGGGGATTATTGTGATTGTGGCAGCTAGGGTATCTGTCGGGAATCGTCCGCCCTCGCGGATCGAGTTTAGTCCTTCCAGTAGCCTGGGCAGTAGGATGTCGCTGAAAGTGCGGAGGTAGGAGAGTGGTAGTCCGTCTGGGCCGGGTGCTCTCTGGGGTTTCATGCTTTTCAGGGCTCCCTTGAGTTCCTCGAGCGTTAGGGGTTGCTCCAGGTCCACTGATTGTTCCTGGGAGAGCGTTTTGGTTATGTGTTGGGCTAGGTAGTCTGAGATCCTCCGTTGGTGTGTCTGTTGTGCTGTCCCATGCGTGGTCAGTGTCTGGTTGTATAGGTCTTTGTAATAGGCCTGAAATGCGTCTAGAATGCCTTCTGGGTGTCTAGTGCTACCCTGATCTCGCGTGTTTATCTTGTGAATATGTTGCGCCCTCCGTCGTGCCTGGAGCATTTTTGCCAGTAGGCGACCGCTTTTGTTGGAGTGTTCATAGAAGTGCCTGGCCGATTTGGCCAGGGTATGTAACAGCCCCTGAGAGAGGTGGTCCCTAAGTTCTCTCCGAGCTTCGGTCAGTTGAAGGTAAGTGTTGTCGTCTAGTGTTTGTTTGTGTGTGGCTTCCAAGGTGGTTACCTTGGATGTGAGGGTATTGATGCGCTTGAGTCTGTCCTTTTTGCGCTGAGTGCAGACGGCAATGTAGTGGCCTCTCAGTACACATTTATGTGCTTCCCAGATCGTCAGGGGAGGTGTGTCCGGGTCGTCATTTGTGTCAAAATATTGTGTGATCGTCTGAAGTGTGGATGCGCGGGAAACCGGGTCGTTCAGCAAAGTTTCATTGAGCTTCCACTGTCTGTTCCTCGGTTTATAGAGGGGTGAGCCTGTGCGAACTTTAACCGGAGCATGGTCGGAGTGGGTCATGAGGCCAATATGTGCGTCATGTAGTAGGGGAAGGTATTCTTGGGGCATGAATATGTAGTCAATGCGGCTGTAGCGGTGGTGGACGTGGGAAAAGTGTGTGTAATCCCTGTCGTCTGGGTGTGCGGTCCTCCAACAGTCTACAAGGCCCAGTCTGTTCAGTGCCTTGGTGGCAGACCGTACGCAGTGTGGCGATATTGTGCTAGTTCCGTGGGATGTATCCAGGTGTGGGTCTAGTGGCATATTCAGGTCCCCTGCTACCATCAGGAGGCCCTCTCTAAATTTGTTCAGTTTGGTTAGGGTGCGGGAGAGAAAGGTGTGTTGGCCGCGGTTGGGGCAGTATATGCTAGCGAATGTGTATGTGTGGTCGGCTATCGTGCCCTTGACAAATAGATATCTCCCTCCAGGGTCTGTGTGGGATGCAATATGTTTGAAGGGTACAGTGTGTGCAAAGAGTATCGCTACACCTGCTCTCTTGGCATCCGGGTGGTTGGCGTAGTAAGCCAGACTGAAGCGTTTGTTTTCTAATTTAGGTGCGTCTGGGCCCCGAAAGTGCGTCTCCTGCAGGAACGCTACGGACACTCTCTCCGCCCAGAGACGGCGGAGTAGGTGAGAGCGCTTCTCTGGCTGGTTAAGGCCCCTAGTGTTGTTGGACCAATATGTGAGTAGGGCTGGGCTGAACCCCATCTTGGCCCTCGTGGTTTAGTCGGTCGAAGGGATGGGTTCTATGGGGTGTGAGTAGTTTCAGGGGGGATGGGGTCAATGCAACGTTTGAACCTTAACCGGTTGGTGGCGTCCAGGAGACTGTAGTGTCAGGAAGTCTCGTCGAACTCCGGTCCTATGTACAGGGGAGGTCAGTTGCGCGAGGCGCGTGGAGGGTAACCTAAAGAGTCTGTTCTGTAAAAATGTAGGTTGTCAATGCCCGTGTCCCGGGGGCTCCCAACCCGCCGTGTTAAGTGGCTCTTGTGACATCCGCGGGTCCTGGGGCACTTGGGGGAGGGTGGGGGGCGGGCCCGAGCTAGTCGGGTGCGCATGGGCGCATTTTTGCGTATCATGTCTGGCCGGTCCGTGGTGGGGGATGGTAGGCGTGGGTTCTTAGGGGTTGACTCAGTTATGTGTTGGTGAGATACGTCTGCAGTCTGAGGAAAGAGTCATACAGCATAAATTAACATTGCAATCTTAGCCAGGGGTAAAACCGTGGCCTAACATGTGTATCTTTAACAAATACAAGAGCAATATAACTTGAACACAGTATCCTTGCGGGCAATTTCAGTTATTGTAGCTTATGCGTGAGCTACCACACTAGAAAATGGCAGTAACACTTGCCCGCTTTTTCTAAAACTTGTGGCCCATACCTCCCTCCCAAACAGTCCATTTCTCCATGACCCGCCCCGAGTGTTCGAACATCCCCTTCTCGTGGGCTCCCTGCGTGACTAGTGTCCCCTGACATCTCACCCAGGGCACCCTCCCAAGTCCCAAGGGGCCTTTACAGAGTGAAGTGTGTCCCTGTTTCATTGAGCAGTGTCCCGGCTCCCCAGGTCGCATCACACCCAGGGCAAAGATCGTTGAGGGCCGGGCGTTGGTAGGCAAGCGCTACTGTGTGCTAGTGGCAGTTGTTTGGTGTCCCCCTAGAGGCTCGGGTCTGTCTACGGGGTGGCCCCAGTTACCTGGTATGGGAGGTCGGTTGTAGAGCCTCGGGTGGTTATTCCTCTGGGCCGTCAGGGCCGCCTCTGCGCCGTGGTGGTGGTGCAGCGCGACCTCCCAGCAGGTTCTCCGCAACTGGGTAGGGCCCGGTCGGGCGAGCAGGCGGGTTTTCAAGGATCCAGTTCTGTATGTGGATGTGTGGCAGACCTGCAGATTGAAGGAATCTGGGGACATCGTTGGGCCAGCGTAGTGTGTGCCAGCAGTTGTCAATCTTGGCTTGCAGGCTAAACGGAAAGCCCCACTTGTAGGGAATCCGTTTTTCTCGTAGCATGGTCGTTAGTGGTTTCAATGCCCGTCTGGCGTCGAGCGTGAGGGACGACAGGTCCTGGAACAGCATTACTTGGGAGTCCATGTAAGCAATTGAGCGTTGGGCTCTGGCCGCTCTCATAATGGCGTCTTTCTGCTGGAACGATGTGAGGCAACAGATCATGTCTCTGGGTTGCCCATCACTCCTGGGACCACGTAGTGCTCTGTGCGCTCGTTCCATGGGTATTTCGGGGGGGCATCCTCACCAAGAAGTTGCACGAAGAGGCCGGTCAGTAATTCTCTTGGGGACTCGTCGTCGGACTCAGGGAGGCCCCGCACGCGTATGTTGTTGCGGCGGCCTCTATTGTCCAGGTCCTCCACCTGTCTGCGCAGCTCAAGGAGAATGTTCCCCTGCCGTGTGGTTGCCAGGTCTGCAGCCTGCTGATGGTGTGTGGTGTGGAGGCGGTGTTCCTCCAATTCATCCACCCTCTGTTCTAGTGCCGTGAGATCTCTGCGTACCGCGGCAATTTCTTCCCGGATGACAGTGCGCAGTTCTGATACGAGCGCAGTTTTGTCCCCACGGGTGAGCATGTTGGCAGATATTGCAGCAAGGTCAGCTGACATTTGTGTCAGTGCATCAGTGCCAGGCATGTCAGTAACAGAGCCTGTCACACTGCTGGAGCTCGGTGAGGGGGGCGCCATCTTGTCCGCGCCACGTGCGCTTCTGAGGTGCTGCGGGGTGGACAGATATTCGTCCATGGGACCGGGTTGTCGGCTCACGGTGGGTGAGGGGGGGTGCCTTGGGGTCCCCGCGCGTTTGGGTTTCCCCATGAGGGCCGCGCCGTCTGCTTGTGATCTGAGCTTAGGCGGGTCGGGGCCTGGGAGCAAGTGCGGCGTGCGGCTTACTCCATCGGCGGTCGAGCCACGCCCCCCCATGAAATACTTCTTATAACTTGTTTTCTAAAGTTCTATTCGGCCTCTTTAACTACACTATGCCACCTCTTTCATCTTCATTTAAAACCTTCTTTAACACACAACTTCTGGAATAAAAGGGAATCATGATGGAATATTTCCGTCATGTGTCCTTAAGGGGTTAAAAAGAGATTCTATACTGACAGGGGTAGGCAACTTTTGGCACTCCAGATGTTGTGGACTACATCTCCCATGATGCTCTTATAGCCATAATGCTGGCAAAGGATCTAGGAAGATGTAGCCCACATCATCTGGCGTGTGAAAGGTTGCGAACTATACCCATGTCATCTACTTCAATTGGTGCAGTTCATTTGTGCAGTGTTTAATTTTTTTCTAATGATTTAATCCTAAATGATGGTCCCATCAGCTGACCATTTTTTATCCCCAAAGACCATTGCTGATATCAACTGATATGGCTGAGGCAGAAAATACACTTTGCCTTATCCATACTTCCAGCAAGCCGCAGCTTACACCCTTTAAGTGTTTATTTGAAAATCACAACACTAAAAATCAGCGCTGCCCAACAAGTAGATCCCCAGATGTTGTAGAACTGCAACTCCCATGATGCTTTGCATGCCTTTAGAATGACAAAGCATCATGGGAGTTGTAGTTCTACAACATCTGGGGCTCTACCTGTTGGGCAGCCCTGCACTAAATAGATGGATCGCGCCAGGGGACCTCAGGCATCACAATCACTTCAATGAGATGAAGTGGTTATGGCAACTAGTGTGACCTTTTAACTCTTCCATGTTCCTCATATAACAACCTCCTTATAACGGCTCCTCTCCATATATTAATCACCTCCTTACGGTGCTTAGTCTCCCCTTTAAATAGTGAATGACCCTGTAATTCAGCTTCTCTTTCCCTTTCCACTCAGGAATCACGTTAGGCAGTCCAGTATAGTGTCCAGTTCCGGGCTGTCTAAGTCACATGTGCTAGAGTACAACTACACTCTGGCACAAAAGTGCAGATTTCTATATTAACAGTGCTTCACGTTAAAACTCTGTATATACAGCTTGCTTGCTCCATGACCTCTTCTAAAAGCAGAAGTATTCATGAAGGGCGCTATAAACCTTTAAGTGTACATTTCTCACAACATCTCCTGTCTATGCTTTTATCAGGCCCCTGTAGTTTGCATGTATGTGGATCTCTCATCGTTATATCTGTAAAGTGTATTTGATACAAATCTCTTGATTTTCAGCTCCTTCTGTGCCATCAGAACCACTTACAGCCAAAAAGGAGGTCAGTTTATAAATAAACATTTCTGTAATTTGGAGGAATTTTCCTAAAAAAGTAAACTTTCTTCAAATTACCACTTGTTAATAAGGTTTTCGGAGTAAAGAATGTGTGGGAATTTTCTGTCCCAGTTTACTTACTCTACCTGGATTATTATTTGATATAATGGCCACATATGATACTATTTTTTATCTTCTGCTCAGGAACTTACTACCAAGCGATTTACTGAAAGACGAGTGAGAGAGGTTGATCAGGAGCCGATGGAATCTAAAAGTCACATTTTGGATCTTGAAGCTCAGGTGCGAAGAAATAAAAATCATAATATCCTTCATAAGAACGATGGCTTACCATTTGCTTTACTTAATGTATGCCGTTCATTTTACAATCTGATATATTTGTCTGAGCAGTCTTTGTTTATTTCAGGTGAGGAAGCTTCAGCTGGAGAATGAGCAACAGAACTTAATGCTGGAGACCCTTCAGCAGAGGCACAGAGAGGACTTAGACCTCATTGAGAATGCACACAGGTACCAGCACGGTTAGATTTTATATGTATGCATGTGTTGACTTACTTTTCAGGTATAGAATGCTGGGTTAAACCTAGCTGTTGGGTAGCCAGTTGAAGTGCCTCGTTCAGCTGGTATGTTCTTTACATTGGCTTCCCCAAACTCCGGCCCTCCAGATGTTGCTGAACTACAACTCCCATGATTCTCAGCCTATTTCATTCATAGAATCATGGGACTTGTAGTTCAGCAACATCTGGGTGGCCGGAGTTTGGGGAAGCCTGGTTAAGAGGAACACTCCAAACACCACAAGCAGTATAGCGCATTGCAGAAGTTGCAGTACCGGGAGTGTACTGGTACCCGCCATTGTAAGTATTCAAACTATTTTACAACGGTTTCACTTCTTATTTGCGGCATATCTGGCTCTGCTCCTCACCTCCTCTCAGAAGCCAGGACAGACAGAAGCACATGCTTAGGAGCTTCCGTTGGCTATCATGAACTAAACCCTGCACCTCTGGTGAGAAGAGCTTCTGGGTTTACCGTTTACCGTTACTAAATAGTTTGACTAATTATATTCGGGGAGGGGGCACCAGGGCCATGAAGTTATTATGGTGCCTGTAGTGTTTCTTTAAAACAATATCTCCAATAGATTAAGATTCCTTTCATGCAACTAAGTTGAAATGTATAAGTAATGATGTAAGCCATATTAGAACCAAATCATAATATTTAAAAGGATAATCCAGACTAGAGCTGACCCATTCTTAATTAATTAAATTATATGTAAAAACATTAAAATTGCTCAATTTCCTGCAACACACCAGGCTTTGCATCTTCTGCAGTGAGCTCTGCTCAGAACAGGAAGTGAATCAGCCAATAATGTTCAAATAACTTTCTGTAGCGAAATGAAAACATAATTGATTTTTTAAATTTTATTTTGGCCTACATTTTTTAATTTACTTAGAATTCCAGGCAAATTTTACTTTAATGAATAGCACTATAAATATTGATTCCAGTACCCACATTCACAAAAATGTTAAACTGTTCTAATCTGAATTCCGTTTATAAACTTCAACAAGTTGTGGAGATCTGTAAACAAAATCCATCTTTAAGATAAAAACACTCACACCCCAGGTTCCTTGCAGCTTTGATGACCCGATTTCTACTTTTTCCTTTACAGAAATCGTCTGAAGCTGCTGGAAGACTCTGCTAGACAGAGAGAAGAGCGTTTATTTCAAGAGAACAAACAGCTGTCAACCCAGTACCTCTCCCAGTGCCAGGCCGCAGAGCATGAGAAGACTGAACTATTGGCAAAATATCAGAAAAGGCTGACCGAATTCCAGCAAGAAAAGGAACTGGAAGTAGAGAGAATAAGAGAGCTGCAGAGGTAAGAGGAGGAACTTGATTTTGATATCCCATTGTATAACTATGTAATATTATAGATATATATGGCTGAGTAAAACATTTGAATAAAGATTTAAAGGAATATTATAGTCACCAAAACTTTGTGAAGCAGTATTGATGTATAGATCATGCTTCTGCAGTTTCACTGCTCAATTCTCTGCCATTTACGAGTTAAATGACTTTGTTTATACAGCCCTAGCCACACCTCCCTGGGTGTGACTTACATAGCCTTCCTAGACACTTCCTGTAATGAAAGATCTAATGTTCACACTTTCTCTTATTGCACATTTTGTTTAATTTGGAATTTCTTATTTCCTGCGCTGTTATTAACTTGCTAGACCTTGCAGGAGCCTCCTGTGTGTTATTGAAGTTACATTTACAGAGCAGGAAATAACAACTTCTAAAATAAGTTAACATCTGATTGATAATGAAGCCAATTTGTTTTCATGCATGTGTCAATCACAGCCAGGGGATGTGTGGCTAGGGCTACATGGGCCAAAACATTAGGGATTTAACTCCTAAATGGCAGAGATTTGAGCACGGTCCCAAAAAACACACAAAAATACACAGATCCTTTTTTTTTTTTTTTTTTATAAAAATACAAAAAAAAACTGTTTTGAAGAGGGATTTCGTGAGTCAATTGATTCTTCTGTTGACATACTTTTTGTATCATTGCCACGTCTGCATCCAGGGCATCGGTAAAGGAAATGTGCATAGACTATGAGGAACAGTTACACCGGATTAAACGTCTCAAAGACCAGGAGATTGATGCAGTCACCAGTGCCTCTTCACAGACAAGGTTAGAAATACTGCAATACAGAGCAGGTCTCTTTAAACTGTTGTTTCTACAGCTAAGCCCAATTCCAAAGTAAAGATTCAATTTCATGAGAAATACAGGGGAGGACACTGATGTGCGTTTACCTTTTATGTTGCTTGAGCCTTTCCTTTTATACTTCTCTTTGGTCCCACTCACTTGACATTCTGAAATACTGCAGAGGGCAACACAGAATCCATAACTAACAGGGTTATTTAGTCAAGTCAGAATTCAAGGTGAATTTCATATTTAAGGTCAAAATAGCCGAACATTCCTGTCAGTTGTTCTTTCAGTTCAGCTACTCTTGCCTGAAATTTGAGATCCCTTTGAATTCACTTTGAATTCTCACTATAGTAAATAACCCTGTCAGTGACAGAAAGGATGCACACTACTGATACACTTCATCAGATGATAGAAAATGTGTAATATTCTCTTTTTGTTTCTTTATATGGTTGGGCACATTCTCATCTGTCTCTTTCTTCTGCTTTCCTTATCCTTGCCTGTCTAAATTGGGATGCCAAAAATGGGGTGACAAACAGTGTTAATTTTTTTGACTAACAATTTTAGTTGACTAAAATTATTGAGATTTAGTTAACTAAAACTAGGGGCTGTGGGGCAAAAGACACAGACCAGGTCTTGGGAGAGAGACACCTAGCGGGGCTGGGGGGAGCGGGGCAGAAACAGAGGGGCTAGGGAAACCGCAAAAGAGACAGAGGCTTTAACTAAACCCATTAGATTTTAGTCGTGTCGACAAAAATCTACTGGAGATTTAGTCGACTAAAACTAATTCAATTCAGATGACTAAAATGCGACTAAAACTAAAATGGCTTTTTAGTAAAACACTGACTAAAACTAAATAAAAATTTGCCGCCAAAATTAACACTGGTGACAAATAGTAAAGGAGCACGCTAGGCACCTCTACATTCCTGCTTCAGATAGAATGTCCCTGTCACCGCATACTTAGAAAATAAGTGTCAATTTTAAACAAAAAAATCACTTTTTTACAACATCCTTTTCCACCTTCCTGGCTGTCAGTTGGATAGCCGGGACATTTTCACAAGTAATGGGATCTACATGATCTTAGATCTTGCAATTCACATGCTTTTTAATGAGTTGTAAGTATTGAGAAGTGTATGATTGGCCATATGCACACATATGTTATTTGCAAGGTTTCTCAAACTTCCTCAAAAATATGTGTACATATTTTTTTTTGGGGGTGGGGGTGGATTTATACTACATGTTTGGAAAAATAAATATGGAGTGTTGTTTTAATGATTGACAATAAGCAATTCGTTACCCATAACTACATGGAGGGGCTAGTAGTCTCTTATAAAAATATTTTTTTTTAAAAGCAATAAACCTAATTTTAGTTACTGTGCCACATCTTCTTTCCACCTGAGAATATTAATCAGCTTATAAGAAAATAGTGAGCAATTAACCCCTTAAGGACACATGACATGTGTGACATGTTATGATTCCCTTTTATTCCAGAAGTTTGGTCCTTAAGGAGTTAAACTGTTCAGTAAGATTCAATTTGTTAAAACCAATATTTTTATACATCACAATACTTTTTTAATTGTTGTTTTCTCCCTTTCTTGCTATCTATGTCAGTAAATTCAACTCGTATTTTCTGAATTCTCAGGTCCTTGAATGGAGTCATTGAGCAAATGGAGTCCTACTTTCATAAACTGAGTGAGCTGTCTGAGAAGGTAGAATATACCCAAGTAACAAAATCGGAAATTGGTGTACGGCAGAGAGAAGGGCAGCTCAAAGGTACAATGTGCACATAGTCATACTGCACCTTGTGTTGAGGGATGTGGTATTGGAAGGTATATATTAGAATCAGCAGAAAACTTATCCTAACTTACATTTCAGGTAAGAGATTTTTATGGTATAAATAGTATAACATTTTATATTTCTCCTTCTCGTTCTAGTATTGCAGGAGCGCCTGAGTCGGCAGCAGAAGGACATGGAGGAGGAGAGAAATAACTTGCGCATGATCATAACCAATATGGAGACTCGACTGAGTGAACAGAGCCGCCTTCTGGAGCAGGTGAGAAGTATCCTGATTCATAGCCTGAGATCTAGTAAAGTCTACCTTCTAACAGGCAATCAAAAGCTAATAATGCTCTGAATTGACATTGTGATTCTCGGCAGGAACGCTGGAAGGCCTCTGCAGAACAGGCCAAAGTGGAGTCTCTGCAACGGTCACTGGAGGAGCAGAGAAGGGTTTTGACTCAGCAGTTGTCCTTGGAGAGAGAGGAAATTGATAGAGCAAAGGTTGGTTGCTGATTGGCCAAAATGTGTTAACACTAAAGCTCTTAGCACTTATTGAAGTGCAGGTGTTTACTCTCTCCTGTAGAATGTTCTGTGCACACAGTAATTCCCCATTACCGTTCCTTTTCTACCCAATAGCAGAAAGCCTTATTTATCTGTGAGCGATACTAGAGCAGAGTACTTAACAAACCCTTGGAATATTCACTAACTCACTGTGCATCAATGTGCATGGAGTTGGAGCGGAACTTAATCTACCATGATGCTTACATTTTATACCTTTGCGCAACAGTCTCTTGGTTATATTAAAATAGTGTTTCTTCGTGAATAATACACACGTAAGAAACAAATTTATTACAAATAAAAATACACAAAAACAAGTCCTGTGCTCAAACTCACACAACTCTTGGGCGGCAGCAACGACCATAGTACACATCAGCTCAAATACATACAGTAAAAACCAAAGAAAAAAAAAGTTACTTGCGTTCTTCCCAAATCCCTATGCACGTTTAAACAAATGGAAGTTATTTAGTTGCTCCAATGAGAGGGGATGCCTTTCAGCCTCCATGAAGAAATGGTTTCATTATCAAGCAGATCTTTCAGCACAGTTAATTTACTTTAGAAGTTCTTATCTGTTAATTTATTTATTTTTCCCATTAAAGCAGCACTATCTTTGAGAATTGCAAATTCATAAAGACCCCCTGCCGGTGACATCACCACTGGGGATCCGTTGGCCCGGGGGGGTAGGTAAAAGTGAGATTTACTGAACTGAACCTATCCCTCATGGGCACAGCCATCTTGATCCAGCAGGTCCTCGTCAGAGCTAATGTCACTGCCTGAGAGTACATCATTGAGGTCTATGGAGGATCCCGCAAGATCGTGGGATCCTCCATAGAGACAGACAATTCCCTGCAGCCGGGATTGGCACACACTTTCTGCCCTGAGTTTTAAAAAAATCAGGCTGAGTAGAAATACAAAGACAAAGTAGTCCCTCAGACTACTTGGAGTTATTCCAATAAAATTCCAATACAGTCAAAATGAGTATTTCATAAAGTATTTCATAAATTGGGGGGTGTCTGTGTTACTCTCAGCCAGGGGAGGTGTGGCTAAAGTCACATAAACAAAGTGATTTAACTCCTTAATGGCAGAGAATTGAAAAGGTGTCACGAGCGTGGGCTATAGGCCCAGCCGAGACAGGGGGGAGAGCGTGGCAGTGACAGGATTAATGACAAGAAAGTGCATTTGACACTTTTTCCAAATATGACAATTTTGGCCTTAAAAGTTCCAGTTTCCTTGTCAGTTCTACAGATTTCTTGCACTGGTGAATAAGCCTTAAAGGACCACTATAGTCACACAGACCACTTCAGCTCAGTGAAGTGGTCTGGGTGCCAGGTCCCCCAAGTTTTAACCCTTCAGATGTAAACATAGCAGTTTCAGAGAAATAAACTACTATTCAGAGAAACTGCTATGTTTACATTGCAGTGTTAATCCAACCTCTAGTGGCTGTCTTCCTGACAGCTGCTAGAGGTGCTTCTGTGGCACTGGGTGTGAAATTTGCAGAACGTTCATAGGAAAGCTGACGTCGGCAGGGGAGGAGATGTCACCAGCACTGAGGGAGCCCGGCACTGGATTAAGGTAAGTAACTGAAGGGGTTTGAACCCCTTCAGCACCAAGGGAGGGGGGCCCTGAGGGTGGGGGAGTCCTACGGATGCTATAGTGTCAGTGTCACGAGCGTGGGCTATAGGCCCAGTCGAGACAGTGGGGAGAGTGTGGAAGTGACAGGGTTAATGACACCGGACCCCTGGTTACCTGTTGCTAGTCCAAGCAACCACTCAATTAACCCCTGCAATTCCTTCTACACTAACTGCCTAGTACACACTTTACTGCCACCACCAAGACTTTTAAACCCGGGCGTCTTAGGTTACCCCACACACAGGAGAATTATAGAATCACAGTTCTACTTTTACTGATCAAACACATATAATTAACCCTTTTTAGTAACGTGGTTACCTGAGCTTTCCTCTGGAGAGTGAAGCTCATAGAGAACAGAGACACAAGTTGATTAAGTAAACATTTAATCTGACAAAAAAGATTCACAGTGCTGAGTACAGAATACAGAAATAAATGACATACAGATAACAAATTGCAAAACAGTACATAAAATAAAATAGGAAATTCCTTACATGTATTTACCCCATATAGGATTCTTGTGGGAGTCTTAGATGGTATAGGTCTCCTAGAAGTTGCTGACCAAAGAAAAAATGAATAACCCCCTGTATAGTCCAGCACCCTCATTATATACCTAAACTAGTTGTTTCTCAGTGGGCAGACCCTTGGGGTGGGGGATCAGAGGGGGTTGGTCTGGCAGTTTAGTGCCCACTCTATGCAATTCCTTGTGTCCAGCTCTGGTTATGGCTATCTAGATGTTTTATGGTCTAGGCCTGGTGCAAGATCAAAGACCACAATAAATGTCATCCCAAGGTTTACAAAAAAACTCTTAACATATATCAACACACATCAAACACCAACTCATGCTTTTGGCATGACAGGTAGACTGCAAGGTCAGGCTCTATACATCAAAACCTCCTAACTTAGCTAAAGTTGTTTTGGGCCTTAGAGTGTCCCTCTAAGAGAAGATTTATCAAAGTGTCACAGACCGTTTTGTGCCTTTTTTTGAATGTATTTCGTGCAATTTATTATGTCTGGCAGTTTTGTGTTTGTTTTTTGTTTTGTTTATTTCGTCTTGCTCGCTGTCTTTTCTGAATGTACGCTGTTTTTTAGCAACGCAACATATTTATCAATTATTATGTTAATATTTCTGCGAGAAAAATGTTCTGTTTCAATTAAATTTTTCCAACCAGTCTATTTAGAAAAGCAGATGCCTTTTAGACCATTAGTAGAGCAATTTAATAAATAAGTTTAGAGTCAGAAGTTCATTGATACAGTCAATAAGCCACACAACAAATTAGAGACTAAAAATAAAAGGTAATTTTCTGAACACAGGATGAATCTCCTCCATACTATCCTATCAGGACAATACAGTTGTGAGTAATGACTTTCCAGCTAAGTGCTCCTGGTAACAATTCTTACTTTCTACACATTCCTCCATCAATAGGTTTATTGCATTGGATTAGTGGCCACTCAGTCCAGACAATTTAATGCCCTAACTCTTAATTTATGTTATGTGATATCTTAATTTTACAGTATATATGGAGTTTCCATTAGAATTGTATATAGAATACAGGGTATGTCTAATTAATGTCACATGGAAATGCAGTTACGCATGAACCTCCTGCATTCTTCTGGTTATAATCATACAGATTTATACTGGGTAGTAAATGCCCACAGCCTGTTTACATATCTCCAGTCAGCTTGTGTACAGATATAAAAATGTTTTAGCCATTGGTATGTGTATACACACTGAGTGAAACTATAAAACAGCTGTCCATATCTCTCATCAGACAACCTTCTAGGGTAATTAAGGATATTAAGTAGTGGAAGATGTTCTCCCATAAATTCGCAATGTACGGTATCTTTATAGAGTTAGATTGGTTTACATACACAAACATGGGGTGCCAGTTATTAATGATTGACAGTCTACAGATAGTTTATGCATCAAATGCCTGGATGAATTTTTTTGGACCCTGCTCCTGTGTCCCTCTACTCTTCTAGTCAAACTAACGTCCAATAAACTTCATTTTAATTGCTTCAGCTGTAGCTGTACATCCACATGCCATTGGTTTAATTTGGAAAGAAAATAGCTGTATTTTCATGTTTTGTCCCCATATCTAGCCCTCTTGTACCTCATTTGCTTTATGAAGTCCTTATTCCTCACCCTATCTTCCTTCATATCTGTGACGGTAGTCACCATCAGTGGTGATGGAAGACATACACAATATGTAGGTCCCCAGATTCCTCTTGTGTTTTGATCATCCTGTGTCTAGTATTTGTGCAGTCATGTTGAATGTATTGATTGTCTGTGCCTTTCCCCCTCCCTCTTTTTCCTGTCCTATTGTTTCCCCAGCAGCACATTGTCCCAGGGACACTGCCAGACCAGTTTAAACTAGCTTCCCTGTTCCTGCTCAATCTCCCATCAGCCCTTGCTATTTTCTGACCCCAGCCTTCCTTGTACTATACTGCTCTATGTACCCTATTGTATGTAAATGAGGCTGTTGGGGACTTAAATATGTTTTGCTATGTCGATTAAAGTTAGTTGCTGTTTTAACCTTCACCAAGTGTCATCTGGTGTTTGGGGAAACCTGCTGATGAAAAGTGTGTCCACTAAAGTGCTCCAGTGTCCCTGATAGCTACGAGAAAGCAGACTTGGCGGAGGTATTCGGTTGGAGTCCTGATGCTCCGTCACAATATTCTTTACCTAGCACAATCTACACCATCTCTTCTACCCCATTCTGTGGCTAGAACATTCTACTCTCTATCTTCCATCTCAATCTGTGCCTAGAACAATCTGCACCTTGTACATCATCTCATTCTGTGCTTAGAACAACCTGCACTCTGTACATCATCTTATTCTGTGCCTAGAATAATCTGCACCATATACACCTCTGCGATATCTATTCCTGCATAGCGAAATTAATAACCCACTCTGGTTCTCCTTCCAACAATACATGGTCTGAGACACCAACAGGTATACAGTTTACTTTTTATTTACAAAACAATACTTTGAGAACAGGGTGTTATATACTACTTTATACTCGAGACTAATATTGTGCCGCTAGGTAATTTATTGTACCGCTTCACCTGCAGCGGGTTCACTTATCGGATTGAAATAATCCCTGCAATTACACTATCTCCGAGACGAGCTAGGATAAGTTATACTAATTAGTGTTCTTAATGTGTGCTCTTGTGGTTTTACTTTTTTAGTATTAAAAGTCAAGTTTTATATTTAAAGTGGTACACACTATTTGTACCACTGACTGTCCCCCTCCCTTTTAAGGGACTTACTCTCTTCAGGACACTCTACCATAATTAATTTTCTCCTGTTTTGTGTCTCTTCTTGTTGTTTAGCACCATATACACCATCTCATTCTGTGCCTAGAACAATCTACACCATATACTTCATGTCATTCTGTGCCTAGAACAATCTACACCATATACTTCATGTCATTCTGTGCCTAGAACAATCTGCACCCTATACATCATCTCTAGAACAATCTCCACCATCTCTTAAAAAATGTTTTTACATTTCATTGTCACACTCTTCAATTTCTCATATTTTCCAGGACATACTTGAAAACGAGAGAAATCTTAACGTATCTTTCCTGGTAAAATAGTTTATAAATAAAGAACTCATTTTATGTCCCACTGATGTCAGAGCATTTATACACTATCCTGAATGGATTCCCTGTTTACTAAATTGGAGTCTCTGCTCACATGTTCAGCTGGTGAAAGTGTGAATTGCTCGCAGGATTTTATGATTTGCTCAGCATTTGTCCCATTACTTCAGCCTTCCCATGGTTCCTGGTTAGAAGTGAATGACAGGTAAAGGTTGGTAGTCCAGGAGCAGGGAAGTACACACCTGCACTTTTAGGAGGTTTAGTGTAAGAACATTTCTATTAGACAATGAATCGAAACACAGGGGCTTCTGAAATATAGTACTGACAAAGATAAGTCGCAGGTAGACTCATTTATGCTATCTGTTCCATCTCTCATTTCCTCAGAGCGCCCTTCTGGAGGAGCAGCAGTCTGTCATGATGCGTTGTGCTGAGGAACGCAGGAAATTGGCCGCAGAGTGGTCTGAATTTCACACTCAGCACAAACTAAGCAAGGAGCGGGCAGAGAAAGATGTGAACAGAGCGCTGATGTTGGAAACTCAAAGAGAAGGTACCATCATCAGCCTGGCCAAGGTATGTAGACAACACAGGCCAGAGGTCAATAACTGCCAGCATTATTTATTATGGGGGCTCTAGGAAGAAAAAGCAAATTCTGTCCCTATGTCATCAGGAAGTAATACATATGAACAACAAAAAACTATTGCCACTAGTTATTGTTTATCTGAAATTAAGTATTTTGTAGATGTGTACAATCAAGAGATCCTTAATGTTGGTGAGTCTGAGTGTATAACAGAGCTCAACAGCAATAATACTCACAGTAATGTGTTTTTAAACTACAATAAATCTGTTAAGATATCAGTCTGATTAAATAAGAAACCATGTTCTTGTTCTAAATGTGTTTTTTGTTGCATAATTTGTTATTGGTAAGTAATGTAACATTTCTCAGAACAGCCCCGCCCCTGGCCACACCCCCACTGATTCCCCTTAAATGAATGTGTCCCTTTTTGTCCATTTCAAAAGTTGGGAATTGTGCAATGGAGTTGTACATTAGTTGGCATGTAGAGTAAATGAGATGGATTCTGGTTTCGAAAAGTATTTAGAATACAGATGAGAGTGAAGGCTGGTGGGATCCTCATATGTTGATGGTTAGTGATGCCAGTGATTGCCAATAAGTAATTGACAGGAGTTTTTCAAATGTTTTCAAATGGACCCAGATATGTCTTGGAGGCAGACGAAGATTCTGATACACAGGTTTTATATATATATATATATATATATATATATATATATAAAACACAGTGAAACCTCGGAACTCAAAATTAATCCGTTCTAGAAGGCTGTTCGAGTTCCGATTTGTTCGAGAACCGAATCAACATTTCCCATAAGAATTAAGGTAAATTTAATTAATCTGTTCCAGCCCCCCAAAATTACAGCATTTTAACACAAATTTGACAGTTTAATAATGCCTTCCATGCATAAAATCATATAGGATAATAATAATAAACACAATATACAGTAAATTAAATGAAAATATCTTTACCTGTAATTATGTTGATGGCATACGTAGAAAGGAGAAGAGAAATAATTTTTTGAATGGGGTAGGTAACTGTTCTTCTGGCATTTAAATGTGTCTAATTGAACATGTTTGTGGCATGATTTGTTCGGGGACCGAGGATCGTTCGCATACCGAGACCTTTTTTACTTGAAATTTGTGTTCGACTTCCGAATTGTTTGAGAAAGGGACTGTTCGGGTTCAGAGGTTCCATAGTATATATATTTGTGATCGGAAACATGATAGTAGTATGTATCAGTTAGTGGTGGTTATAAGTCGCTTGTGGTGTGCCGAAACCAACGTACAGGTAGGCCTGTAAATAAGAGGGCCCACCAATGAGAAGAATGGAATAAATAATTTAAATAAGGGGTGCGGTGGTTGGGATGACCGGAAACATAATGGCCAAGGTAAAAGGGAGGATAGGGTTTTTATAGTTCAAACTCCTTCCACAAATACAGGCCTTTGGCCTTAAACTTGTGGTCAGAAACTTGATAGTAGTATGTATCGATTAGTGGTGGTGATAAGTCGATTGTGATGTGCCGAAACTGACATGCAGGTAGGCCTTTACAAAGCTAAACTTTAAAAGCTTCCTAAGTTCTTTCTCAGGTTGTGGGATGTATGTTATAGATTGAGGATTTCCATCTCCCGAGTATATTGATGATATGCAATAACAGAGGCTGCAGATGCTGCCCCTATCCTGAAGGAATGGCCAGGAAACAGATGCTGGATTGCAGTCCAGTCTCAAAAGTAGAGTCCTTATATAAAATACGAATTTGGAGGTAGTAAGTGGGTAGCCTTAAAGTAAGAGTAGAGGTGAAATCGGTGGGTAGATAGTCAGGTTGTGTGTGTGCATGTTTAATTGGATTTGTGGTGGAGATGAGGTTTACAAAATTAAGTGGCACTTCAAATAAAAAATAAAAAAATGTGTCGAATTGGGTAATGCACTTGAGGTTCCCATGGCAACTTCAAGTATTTCCAAATTGCTTTAAGCCTACTGTTGTCTCTCCGTGTTTGATATGTGATTGAGTATCAAAATTTGTCTGTTTCTGATGAATCTATCATACAATTTAATTTATTATCGCCAGGGCCGGACTGGGAAAAAAATTAGGCCCGGGCATTTTTCAATTAGAGCGGCCCCCCAAGAAGGGGGCGGGGCCAGAGAGGGTGTGTTTTGTCATCACTAATGACAAGCACGCCCCCTCTCAAAGTGAGCATGTTGGTTCAATGTGCAGAGCCCCGCTGAAGAGCTCTGGCTTTAGAAAAAGGCCCTGTATTTGTTCTGCGCAGCGCAAGCAAATGTAATAACATGCTTGCACTGTGTTTGCTTTTAAATTGTCTCTGGTGTCTCCACAAATGGGATACCAGAGGACAAAAGGGCCAGGAAAGTGTATGGTGCATGTGTTTGGCGCCTGCTTGTGGGATTGCCTGTGTGTAGAGTGTGGTGTGGTATTGTGTAAATAGATGTAATATGTGTGGTGTAATATGTGTGGCTATGGGCTGTAGAGAATGCGTGTATAGGGGCATAGTGTTATAGGGGATGTAGCGAGTGTGTGCATACGGGCAGTAGTGTGTGTGTATAGGTGATGTAGTGTGTGTAGGGGTTGTAGAGAGGGTGTGTTTAGAGAATGTTGTATGTGTTTCCTTACAAGGAATGTAGTGTGTGTGTAGGTGGTGCACTGTGTGTGTGTAAGAGATCTAGTGTGTAAAGGACCCAGAGTGTGTATAGAAGATTGTGTGTGCAGAGGATTAAGAGTGCATATAGGGTAAGGGATCTAGCGTGTATCTGGAGCGTAATGTGTGTAGTGGTGCAGTGTGAGGGGTGCTGTAGTGTGTGTGTGTATATATATATATATATATATATATGTGTATATATGTGTGCTATGTGTGTCTCTCGGTGTGCTGAGTGTGTCTGGGGGTGCTGTGTGTGTCTCTGGGGTGCTGTGTGTGTCTCTGGGGTGCTGTGTGTGTCTGGGGGTGCTGTGTGTGTCTCTGGGGTGCTGTGTGTGTCTCTGGGGTGCTGTGTGTGTCTGGGGGTGCTGTGTGTGTCTGGGGTGCTGTGTGTGTCTCTGGGGTGCTGTGTGTGTGTCTGGAGGTGCTGTGTGTGTGTCTGGAGGTGCTGTGTGTATCTAAAGTGCTGTGTGTGTCTGGGGGTGCTGTGTGTGTCTGGGGTGCTGTGTGTGTCTGGGGGTGCTGTGTGTGTGTGGGTGCTGTGTGTGTGTCTGGGGGTGCTGTGTGTGTGTGTCTGGGGGTGCTGTGTGTGTATCTGGAGGTGCTGTGTGTATCTGTGCTGTGTGTGTCTGGGGTGCTGTGTGTGTATCTGGGTGCTGTGTGTGTGTGTGTCTGGGGGTGCTGTGTGTGAGTGTGTCTGGGGGTGCTGTGTGTGTGTCTGGGGTGCTGTGTGTTTCTGGGGTGCTGTGTGTGTCTGGGGGTGCTGTGTGTGAGTTGGCTGTGTGTGTCTGGGGTGCTGTGTGGTGTGTGTGTGTCTGGGGTGCTGTGTGTGTCTAGGGTGCTGTGTGTGTGTGTGTCTGGGGGTGCTGTGTGTGAGTGTGTCTGGGGGTGCTGTGTGTGAGTGTGTCTGGGAGTGCTGTGTGTGTTTCTGGGGTGCTGTGTGTGTTTCTGGGGGTGCTGTGTGTGAGTTGGCTGTGTGTGTCTGGGGGTGCTGTGTGTGTCTGGGGTGCTGTGTGTTTCTGGGGTGCAGTGTGTGTCTGGGGTGCTGTGTGTGAGTTGGCTGTGTGTGTGTGTCTGGGGGTGCTGTGTGTGTGTGTCTGGGGGTGCTGTTTGGGAATTAATTTTAAGTATATATATTTTTTTTATTAATAATTTTTTTTAAAGTTATGTCCCCCCCCCCTCCCTTCTTACCTTTAGCCTGGGAGGGGGAGGGAGCCGTTCTGCCTGGCAGGGGGAGCCTTGAGGGGAGCCATGCTGCCTTCCCTGGTGGTCCAGTGGTGAGAGTGAACTCTAACCTGCAGGTTAGAGTTCACTCTCGCGAGATCTGAGCGTTGCCGCGGCAACGCTCAGAATCTCGCGAGAGGACCCGGCGGAGCTGCTTGTTAGAGCTCCGCCGGGTCCTCCCTCCCCCAGCTGGCGGCCGCATCTCCCTGTCTGTGGGCCGGTGAGGGAGATCTTTCATCTCCCCACCGGCCCATGGAGGCACTATGCAGGGCTGGCGCTCGGGTAGCGCTGGCCCTGCAGGGGCCGGCCGGGGAGATCCTGTGATCTCCCTGCCGGCCTCGGCCCCACGGCCATCGCGGCCCACTGGGCATTTGCCCGGTATGCCCGATGGCCAGTCCGGGCCTGAATTATCGCTGTACAGTGTTTTTCCTTTGACCTACTTCACTGCCACCAATTAAAATACTCCACTTGACTCTGCAATTGTGTAAATCGATTTGTTCTCTACATGGTAGTAACCAGGAATTGTACTCAAAATAAAAAAAGAAGCTTATCTGCAAACTTTAACCCCTTAAGGACGGAGGCAACTTTACAAGTTCTGACCAAAATAAAACCTGGAATTTGGCTATAACTTTGTTCAACCATAATTCACCTCTTTCATATTAAGTGCACCCACACTTATTATATATAAATTTGTTCAGGAGAAATAGGGCTTTCATTTCAATACTTCAATATTCAATATTTATATAAGGAACACAATTTAATATGTATAAAATCTTTTTTTTTTATTTTTTTTTTTAAGTGGCATTTTAACTGTGAATTTCGTAATCCTGTTAAATTTTACTGCAATTAAACACATATATTTGTATGCTGTGATGTCCCACGAATACAATGATGCCCCTCATGTGCTGGTTTCATGGTGTTTTGAAAAGTTTCATGGTCGAATAATGAGTTTTCAGTTTTTACACGTTGACCTTTTTTACACGCCTGATTGTCTTGCTGGGCCTATGTTGCCTTTGAAAGTGTAGGGCAGCCCAGGAATGAATATTGCATACCATTTACAAAAGAAGACAACCCAGGGTATTCAAAATGGGGTACGTCCAGTATTTTTTTTAGTAGTCACTTAGTCAGAAACCCTGGCCAAAGTTAGAGGTCATATTAGTAGTTTTGCATTTTTCACACAAAAACTGCCATTTCACAGATGGTATCATCGTCATTCTATGTTTTACTGCTCTAAAAGACTCAGATTTATGTTCAACGTTGTCTCACAAGTGCAACAGTACTCCCCAAGTACAGGTTTTAAGGGGTTTGGAAAGTTACAGGGTCACAGTTAGGGTTTGCGAATTAAATTCTCGAGACTATCTACATGGGTTATCAGGCAGGTCCCTTAATATATCACTAATAAAATAACATTATGTGTTATGTAAAAATAATACATAAATGTACACGCAGAATGAAATTTGGTAGGGCCGGATTTGCACAGGAAGATTGCCTCAGTTGTCAGGCAGTCCCCCGATCAGGATCACTGCGGAGGGTAAGTATTCTGGCTCCCAGGAGGGAACGATCATTAGGGCGTGCTATGACGCAGTATTGGCGTTAAAGCCCCCCTTTTGCAGGATGGCTTAACAAGCACTAACAGCATGAAGGGCTCGAACACATGTTTCTGTGGCACATTGCTGTAGAATGATCATTACAGTTTATTTTTAAAAAAAAACTCTATAGCTTTGATCAAGCATTACAAGGAGTCCTTCTCCTACATTACCATGATTATCTATGATGACCTAAAATAAGCAGAGGAATTTTGGGCACCAGTTTTAAAGAAGATTATTGTAGAACTGGAAAATTTGCAGAGGTGAATTACAAAATTAGTAACGGGGATGGAAAACATTAGTTGTGAACAAAGGCTAGTAAAACTACATTTTGTTTTCTTTAGAAAAAGAGACACCTCAGAGAGGATATGAAGGCACAATACAAACATGTGCTATTCTGTTCATTAGCAGGAATATACACCAGATAAGACTGCTTACAGCAGAGGAAAGGGTTCCTTACGGTAATTCTCTGCCTACAGAGGTTCTCATCAGATTCTATAGATATTATAAAAAGCTTGGATGCCTTAAAAGGAATACTATAGTTTTAGGAATACAAAGCTGTATTCCTGGCACTATAGCTCCCTCTGCCTCCCCCTTCCCTCGCGCCCCTTTATTTACTAACCTTATTCCAGCGCCAATGTCACTTGGAACTATGTCGACTCTCCGACCCCTACGACATCCCACCCCCTCTGACGTTCCTATGGGGAAAAGTCTGACGCTGGATGTCCTCAAGCAAAGTGTAAGGACGTCCAGCATCAAACACCGGACCAAAGGTCCGTTTCAATCCAGGAAGCCCTCTAGTAGCTGTCTGATAGACAGCCACTGTGGGCAGATTTAGTGCTACAATGTAAACATTGCAGTTTCTCTGGAACTGAGCACTGAAGTGGTCTGGGTGCCTATAGTGTCCCTTTAAGGGATTAAAGGACAGTAAAAATTAATGTCTTGGCTCGCGTTGTTATTTTGTTTCAAATTTATATTTTCCCTAATTTATGTTGTTCTTTTTTTGTTGTTTTTTTCCAAAATGTCTTAAAGTGATAGCATTTTAGGACATTCATTTGTTTGAGGTTAAGACTGTTTAACCATGTGTTGGTTTCTATGAATATCATAATCATATAACGAGGTCTTATCATCTATTAAGGAACAAGCTGAACTGAAAGTTCAAGCCACTGAGTTACGGAATCGAGAGGAGCAGCTGACACTGGCTAAAGAAGCGGTAGAAAAAGAGAGACAGGAACTGCGACTCGAGAAGGAAAGACTTAATGCATTGGCCTTGCGCGTCCAACACAGAGCTGAGGAGATAGATCACATGAGCAAGGTGAAAGAACCAGAAATAACAGAAGCGTTCTTTTTCAAAGTCCTTGCTTTACTGAAGTGGTTGAATTTTAAAAATACCTGTAGATACTGTATGTATACTGTGTGCCAGTATAATAGAAATTTCTGATTAAAGTCTCTGGTTTCAGATTGAGTTAAGTAAAAATTACATTGTATGCCATCATGATCATCAGGACTTTAGGGGAACACTCCAGGCACCATAACCACTACAGCATAATGTAGTGGTTATGGTGCCAGAAGTGCCCTGACACCTCCCATTGTAAGTAGACAAACCATTTCATAACATTTTACCTGGGGTTCGCTGGGTGCCACTTCCACCCTCCACTATCTGAACTGAAAGCTCCTACACAGGGCTTTAACTCAGACAGTGAGATTCCAGCTGGCTGAAGTATTGTAGACGGGGAGCAGCGCCCAGCAGACCCCAGGTAAGACATCAGATCATTCTAAAATGACTACTTACAGGGGCTTGGAGAGCAGCGTGTTACCCCTGGCACCATAACCAGTACAGTGTGCTGTGCTGGTAATATTGCTTGGAGTGTACCTTTAAGGAACTTATTTCAAAGCAGAATGTAATACATATTTAAAGGGGCATCATAAGCATTACAACTTATCATAGTTTGTGTTGATGTTTCATGAGTGTATAGACACCATTCCCTCTGTATTTTGTTCAACTGTTTTTGAGCGGTTTGACATAAATTGAGACCCTTTCTCGCACGCATTGCCTGCCCTTCAGCATCCAATTTGGCATTGTCGGGTGTAAATCCATCTAACCATGGATGCCTGTTTTAGGCTGAGAGCTCTGTGGACATGCTGGCATTACTTTATTAGGTTGTGATGACTGCAAATTGTGTATCTGTTTCAGTTTAGGGGTTAATCTAACCTCTTGTAATTTGTTACTGCAAAAATCATAAATGTATAGCAACTCTGCCATCTAGTGGGTGAATTTTGTAGAGCAGCCTAACATAACCCTCCATTCTTTTACCCAGCTGGCTTCTCAGAGATATGAGGATGGAGAAAAGGCATTAGAAGAGGCAAAGAAGGTAGAATCTGAACACCACGTGCGTCTCAAAACAATCCAGCAAAAATTAAATTGGCTAAGGCAGGAAGAGGAACGTATACACCAGGTGAGGAGTGTGTTCTAAAATGTATCTTATACGTTTATTATTTTTAAGCTTTTTATATTCACTTAGGCAGCTCTGAAAGCTTAGTGAGACACGTTACAGCTATAGCTTTGACTATGAAACACCTGATGTTGCAGAAATTATTACTCCAATGGCTTTCTACTCCTTCTAAGCTATGGAATTCTGTCCAGACTATTTACAAAAGTGAGAATTTAAAGTGAATTTCAAATTCAAGGTAGAACTAGCCGAACTGAAAACATTCTTAAGTCAGTTGTGCTTGCAGTTTGATGACTTTGGTCTTAAATTTGAAATTCACTTTAAATTCTCACTGCGGGCAATAACCCTGTATGTGTTGCAAAGGTATTCGTAACTATATATAATGTTCACACGTGATTTTAATATGACCCTAGGAAATGTTATAGAAGAAGCATGGTTTCTCTGTGGGACCATCTTCAAGCATTAATCCCTAAGAATAATACAAATTGTCGCCTGGTATTTACTTTATTTTATTTGTTATATCACTTGATATATTTTGGATACATGCGTTGTGTAATATACTCTAAAGACACATTAAATATTAAATAGGATTTTTAACTAAAGTCTGAATTGTCAGGAATTTAAAAAAACTGTCAGGAAGTAAAAATATAATTTTCGGCATAAATATCCAAATATGCCGACATGGAGACTCGACAAATCACACTTTAATGAATAGGCCAGTAGGTTGGTGATATTTGTTTGGTGTCTGCCATATGCTGTAAATTGGTATAACGTAGTGATTAAATATATAAGACAAACAAGGTATAAAGTATTCATTGACAAACAAATAATAGTGATAGTTTGTCCATGGTTATATTTTAAGGTGCTGATTGTAGCTCTTTTATTCATTTTAGAGGACTTTTTTTCACTTTTATACTTTATCTAAAGTATTTGTTAATCGCTTTCCTGCCTCGTTTTATGTTCTCTGCATATTTTGCTTTGTACTTCTTTCTACCATGTTGTGGTTTCTTTCAGCAACGTCTTAACCTGACTAGCCAGAGAAGACAACTTGACAAACTCCACCAGGGACTTCCCACTTCCTCAGCCCTCTTTCCTGCAGTGCTCCAGGAGCCTCATCTAATATCGCAGCTTCCTGGACTTCAGAGTGTTAATGGTAAGCATGGCTGGTACCTGGCTGGACATGTACTGTGTATACACAATCTTAAAACGACTACTAAAGAGTGTATTTATTTTAAAGGACACGCAAACGCCAAAACTACAGACCTGATTCAGAAAAAGAATGAAAGGAACATTCTAAAAAACAAAACAACTTTAACTTAATGAAGCAGTATTAGTGTGTAGATCATGCCCCAGAAGTGTCACTGCTCAATTCTCTGACTTTTAGGAGTTAAATCACTTTTGCTTCTCCTTGTCTTGACTGTTATAGCCTCCATTAAAAAAAGGTTTTCATTTTCAATAAAATTTACAGCACAGTGTGTTTACACTACAGTGTGTTTTCTAATTGAACTTTATTCACACACGAGGCTCATGCAGGAGATAAGAAATTTGAAATGAAACACACTTTGCATAAGGGATGCTAAAAAAAAAAATCTATACACCAAAACCAATTTTTTTTTTTTAATTCTTTATTTTCAATGACAGAAATTTCAGACATGAGAACAGTACTTGGGCTTATGCAAAAGCCAAAATTCGTGTTTTACAGTAGTTTCACAGTAATAGAGAAAAAAGAGAATGAATTGTTAAATGGTAATGCAACTGTTCAGAGTTCTTCCTTGCGGTCTTGTTCTGTCAGGGTTTTTACATTTATATAGAAAACTAAACAGATTTAAGTGTTAACCTTAAACAACATAAAAATAGGATGTGTTGCCAACACTTTCATGTGAGGCGTATTTATTTATTTATTTTTTGTTTTATAGATTCTTTTTATTTGATAGAAAAAGGAAGTGCATATGTGTGTCAATGACTGGGCCTGCGCAGAAGCCTTTGAGAAAAGTGCATATATGGGTAATAGCTGGCTGACTTGCGCTGAAGCCACCAAGGGAGTGCATACATGTGTGTCAATGCTTTAGTCTTGCGCAGAAGTCGGGACAACAGTGCATATTCATGCCAGTACAGTGGCTTACGCAGAAGCCTCCTTGCATTTTCAATTGGTTCAGTTGCACCTTGGTGAGGGTGGGCAAGTCAAGGCAAGAGTCACGGCTATGGTCGCTGCTAATCTCGTCAGCGGTTAGTTTGTTATCTTTTGGTGTGCTGAGATAACTCTGCGTGGTTTGTCCGTGAGGTCTTGCCTTGAGTACACATGTCACTCCAATTAGCGTGATTTTGTACAGGTGTTGACTAAACATATCAAAACAGGTAATCTAAAATCTAAAATCTAGTATCAACTAGCAACATTGTATTTAATTATACGGTGAGTTGGTGCCGCTGTCTCCACAGCTCGGACGAGGGGCGTTGTGTGTCCCTTTGTCGTTGGCCCTATGTGTGTGTTCGGTCTCCCTGTCCGCCCTCCGTGTTTTCCTGATATTGTTCCCATAGATCCCATATTTTGCTAAATTTTTTGGTGGTGTGCCTGACCAGGGAAGTTAATCTGTCCATTAGATAATTATCTTTTATCTTTGCTACTACCAGTGCTACCGGGGGCATTTCCGGACATAGCCATTTCTGTGCCAGTGCTCTACGGGCTGCTAAGTATATCATATTTAACAGTTGTTGTTCTGGGCGTGGGAGGCCGTCTGTTGGCCTTGATAGGAGGCAGGCCCAGGGGTCCAGTTTCAGTGGTCTCTGCAATATGTTAGTGCTTAGTTTGATGATTAGCACCCAGTAGGTCTGTACCAAGGGGCACTTCCACCACATGTGCACATAGGTGCCTTTTTCCCGCAGCCGCGCCAGCACAGGTCTGTGGGGGTGATCCGCATGCGGAATTGTTTCAATGGTGTGGTGTACCATCTAAAAAGTGTTTTAAATGACTGCTCCTGAAGAGTGACACATATTGATGATCGGGCCGTGGCCTCCCAAATGTCCTGCCAGTCGGAGCCCTCTAATGTCTCCCCCAGGTCTGTCTCCCACTGGTCTGTGTATCGTAGCTCCCCACATTCCTTGGCCTCCCCGCTAAGGTGGGAGTATAGTAGCGATATTAGTCCACTGGGGTGCTTTTCCTGGTAGCATATGTTTTCGAACCAGGTGAGTGGGAGAGAGGCCGTCTCCTTGACTTCTTTTGAGTTAGCAAAGTCACGTAATTGGAGGTAGCGGAAGAAATCTTTGGTGGTAAAGGGGGATCGTTCCCTGAGTTGGTCGTATGTGACTACGTGGCCATTGTTATATAGGTGGCAATATCTCTGGATGCCTGCTCTCTCGAGCCCTCTAAAGTCGCCCGCTGTCATACCTGGTGGGAAGGATCGGTTCCTAAGTACCGGAGACATTGGCGAGGGGAATCTGCTTAGGGAGTATTTAGTCGCTGTTAGATCCCAGATTCTTAGGGAGTTCGTTATTGCTGGGCAGGTCACTCTGGGGATTGCTATATGTGTCCTGTGTAGCCAGGGGTAGAGTTGCGGTAGATCTTGCCCCATTAGTGAGGTTTCAAGTTCTACCCATCGACGCGTGTCCGGTGTGGAGTGCCAATATGCTATTTGCGCTGTTTGCGCTGCTAGATAATAGAGGTACATGTTCGGTAGTCCTAGTCCCCCTCTGTCTTTGGGCCTATACAGGAGTTTCCTGGCTATTCTGGGTCGTTTCTTTTGCCAGATGAACCTATCTATTGCCTTTTGTAGCGTGGCTAAGTCGCTCCTTTTAACCTGTGTGGGCAGGGCCTGGAACATGAATAGTAACCTGGGTAGAATATTCATCTTAATTGAGTGGAGCTGTCCTAGCCATGAAATGGGTTTGTCTGTCCATTGCTCTAGGTCTCTTAGGAGTGTGCGGAGCAGTGGGGAGTAGTTAGTGTCGTGTAGGAGTTCGTATTGTCCAGTAAGTTTGACCCCTAGATAGGGTATGTTATTAGCTGTGATGGGAAGTCGGTATCTGTCGTATATTGTGGTTTTATCTTGTGTTCGAATGTGGAATGGTAGTGCCATGGATTTGACCAGGTTCACTTTATAGCCCGCAAGAGATCCGTAATTGTCTAGGACAGTGATGGCGAACCTATGGCACGCGTGCCACAGGTGGCACGCCGGGCCCTTTCTGTGGGCACGCGGCCACAGGTCCGCCATCAATGCAGAGTAGGCGCCTGTCTGCCCGAAACGGCAGGCGCCTACTCTGCTTCCGGGTCGGGAGGCAGGGGGAGGGCTCTAGGAAGCAGCTCCCCTGTCCTCCCGCACGATGCTGTGTGGAGCGTTGCCGCGCGTTACCATGGCAACGCCCCACACAGCATTGCGCGGGAGGACAGGGGAGCTGCTTCCTGGAGCCCTCCCCCTGCAGTGCTTACCACCACCGGACCACCAGGGATCGCTGTGTCCCCCCCCTCCCCCCTCATTAAAGGTAAGAAGGAGGGGGGGAGGTATACTGACACAGCACCCTTACCCCCCCAGAAGTACCCCTACCCCCCCAGCAGAACCCCTACTCCCCCAGCAGTAACCCCTACCCTCCCCAGCAGTAACCCCTACCCCCCCAAGCAGTAACCCCTACCCTGCCCAGCAGTAACCCCTACCCCCCCAAGCAGTAACCCCTACCCTGCCCAGCAGTAACCCCTACCCTGCCCAGCAGTAACCCTTTACCCTCCCCAGCAGTAACCCCACTTCCAGCAGTAACCCCCGCCACCCCTGCCCACCAGCAGTAACCCCCTACTCCCTCCCTCTGTGCAGCAACCCCCACTCCCCAAGCAGGTCCCTTACCCCCAAGCAGTAAATCCCCCTACCCCCCAAAGCAGTAACCCCTGTACTCCTCCCAGCAGTAACCCCTTGCACTCTATACACAGTAACCCCTACCCTCCCCAGCAGTAACCCCTACCCCCCCAGCAGTACCCCTAACCCACACAGTACCCCTACCCCTCCGCAGCACCCTTACACATATAGCACACACACACAGAACACCCCACATACAACACTCACACGCACCCCCCACCTCAATGCAGTATGTGTGTATTCAGCAGTCTGTGTGTGTGTGCGTGTATTCAGCAGTCTGTCTGTGTTTGCGTGTATTCAGCGGTCTGTGTTTGCGTGTACTCAGCAGTCTGTGTGTTTGCGTGTACTCAGCAGTCTGTGTGTGTGTGTGTACTCAGCAGTCTGTGTGTGTGTGTGTGTACTCAGCAGTCTGTGTGTGTGTGTGTGTACTCAGCAGTCTGTGTGTGTGTGTGTACTTAGCAATCTGTGTGTGTGTGTGTGTGTGTGTGTGTGTGTACTCAGCAGTCTGTATGTGTATTCATCAGTCTCTGTATTCAGCAGTCTTTGTGTGTGTATTCAGCAGTCTGTCTGTGTATGTATTGCATTTGTTGGAGATACTAATAAATATAAGCTCAATTTTATCTATTTATATCATTATTTAAAATTTGTATCATTGAACTCTGTGTTCTTTTAAAACAAAAGTTATTAGTTCGGACAACAGTACGAGTTGTTTTTATCTAAACTTAAACCTCAGTATTTGGGTTTAATTGCCATGTTGGCACTTTAAGGAGAAAAAATGTTGGCATGTATTGCGGTTTGGGCACTCGGGCTCAAAAAGGTTCGCCATCACTGGTCTAGGAGGTTGGTCAGATGTTCCATGGATGTCAAGGGGTCTGTGAGGGTCAGCAGCACGTCGTCCGCGTAAGCGGAGACTTTGAAGGAGTTCCCTGCTACCCTTATTCCATGTATGTGTGGGTGTTGGCGTATGGCTAGTAGTAATGGTTCTAGGGAGATGGCGAAAAGCAGTGGGGATAGGGACACCAAAACCACTTTTAAGTTAAAGTTGTTTAGGTGCTTAGAGTGTCTCTTTAAGCAAATTTGATTTTTTTTTTTTTTTTTTAACATGACATGCTTTTTTTATATTAGTATTTCGTAAAGAATTTCTGCATCAAGAAAAAAATGTTCTGCCACATCCCATGAGAATAAATTACCCTAAATCCCAAATGTATGTTTTTCACGTTAGTAGGTAGTTACAGGATATATACCATTTCCAAACATTAAATCTCTCCCCTCACCCCAAACAATTTAGATCAGTTTTACAACATAACAAAATAGTTTACACCCTGACTTCTAGCCCAAACTATGTATTTCTTGAAAGCAAAATACCTAATGAATTTCACTAGATGCATTTCAATAGTACACTTGCAACTGTTTTATCATAGTAGAGTATGCCTCCTCCGTTAGTTTTTACAGTTTATCCATAAGTCACATCATGATTTAATCTATGCAATTCTCTACTAGATAACAACCTATACAAACTTTCTAACTAACGCTGAATGTACTGCTATAGCTGATTGCTTTATATGAGAGAAAAAAAGGTTGGGGGGTATATTTTTTCACCGTAAGAAAGCCGATCTACTGCGAAAGATAACAGGGTTATATGTTAAACACCAGATTTTTAGTATGGAGGGACAAAATTCTATTGCAAATGGTCGCATTCCGACCATTATGAATAGTGTCAATTATCTTACGTTATAAAGCCTATTCCAGTCATAATTCGGTCAATCCGACAAAAATATGTACAATTCGGCCACATGCATTCAGTGTCTGGTTTAAAATCAGTGCTTTTCGCATCTGATTTTGTGTTTTGTACTTTTTTTTTTTTTTAAATCACCAGAGAAACAGAGATGTGTGACAGGCCGAACATGATGGGCATGAGTCTTTTTTCAGATCATATTACAATGTAATAATAATGATGGATATTCTTATAGTATCAGGTTTATTATTGTACCTGAGGCTGCCTGTAATAACTATAGGTGTGACATTGTAGGGCTAGGGAAGCTAGGGGTTAGTGTGTGGAAGGTTAGGAGAACATACGGCTAAGGGGCTTCTGCCTCCAAGATGCATATCCCAATAATAAGTGTTACAATACACAGTATTGTAAAAGCAGACAACCTCTAAGCCCCATTTAAGGCGGACCTATCTTTTTTTTAAAAAAATATTATTTATTTATGCCCCCTGTATCTCAATGATCTACTCCCCTCTTTGTCACTGGCAGTTTTTATGTTTATTATGTTTGCTTTCCTGTGCTGGAATTCAGTATCTGAGAGCAGCCATTTTGTTCTCCTCTGCCCATGATGTCAGCTGTTTGCTTTCTGTGTAAATGATTTTACTGATACATTGTAGGTAAATTTGATTGGCAGCTGAAACAGAACCTTCCTTTAAGTTCTGACCATTGTCAAGCTTTGTCAGCCTGACTGCTATACATGAAGAAAAGTAGTACCTACATTTATTTATGTAGTTAATGAAAACTAGAGCGCTCGCAAAACAATAAGAGCTTTAGACGCAAGGAGCTATATAGAAACAGATTAGATGAAGACTCTTTTTGCCACTTGAAACCCCCTAACCCGATCTAACCTCTCCCTACCTTCATGTCAGGACAGTCACACTCTGCTCTTCTGTCACCAGTCAAAAAAAACCAAACATATAATTAATTTAGAAATATACAAAGTGAATAACCAAATGGAAATCAGGAAATTATGAAAATAGTTGCTTTTTATTCAGATGTTTTTTAAAGTTTTACATTCAATCTCTCAGCAGCCACTAGTGTCCCAGGGAAACCGGAGGGTAACCGAACACTGCAAACATCAGAGTTTCAGGCCAAACTTGCACTACTTAAACTCGCTGCACTGCAGGTAAGATGAGTAGATTCGTCCTTCACAATATGGAAACTTGCAAATCAACAATTTCAGGGTTATTTACTAAAATGACAATTGTCGAGAATTCAAAGTGAATTTCAAACTTAAAACCAAAGTAGGTGAACTGGGAGCATAGCTAACTTGAAGAATTCCTCCAGTTTGGCTATTTCGGCCTTAAATTTAAACTTCTCTTTAATTCTCTTTAATTCCCAGCAATTCTCATTTTAGTGAGTAACTATTCGCAACTACTATAGGTTAAACATGCAATATCCACCAAGCAGATGTTTGAAGGTAAAACCCACTTTTTTTTCAATTGCTTTATAAAGAAAGGATATGTGGGTTTATTTACAAAACTAGGATTTTTTTTTTTTAAACATTTGATAACGTCAATATACAGTACCGAAAAAAATAAGGATTGTGATAATAAAATTTGAATTGATCTAAGGCAGGAGTGGTGATAAGGGGCCGGCCTACGCTGAAAGGTGGGCATTCGGTTCAGAATTATTGTCTTGGTGTGCATACATAACGAAAGAAAGAAAGTCACACTACTGCAAAAGAGAGATGCTTCAATCATCTTAAAATAAAAGGCCTTTATTCATATACAGAGCACGGCTGAATTGGGTATGGGGGAGCAATGGATAGTCTCTAACGCAATTCCTGTCTAAATGGCACTTCATCAGAGTCTCTGATGAAATGCTGATTACGGCAAAAATGCATTAGGGGTATAGAGTGCTCCTCCTGTTGTTTCAGCCATGCCCTGTTTGTGAATAAAGGCATTTTTTTTTTTTTTAAAGATCATCAAAGCATCTATCTTCTGTGAAGTCTGGCTTTCTTTCATTTGCTTTGTTTTGGCAGTGGTGAAACCTGCAGATGCTTCTCCCAAATTTCGATGTACTTCTTGTAAATAAAACACACCTATTTCTGTTGAATTTGGTCATTTTTTTCTAGCTAAGGGAAACCATGTGCAGGGCTTAATGACCTTAGATTAGTCTGCACAGCACAAGCACATCTGTTGATGTACTGAGGCCACACTTTCTGGGAACTTCAGAGAAGGAACCCTGAATGGTCGGACAATACCCTAAACTCGGGACTGTACTGCCGATCCAGGACTTTTGGAATGTATAAAAAAAACAACACCACATATATGCCAATGTCAAGCGGATGGTTAGGTTAAATTGCTATTTTTTTCTCTTCTAACAGGATAAAAACTTTCTGGAGGATGAGCAAATTTTCTTGGAAACCCTCAAAAAATCTAGTAACTCATGGTCACAAGTTGCATGATGGGAAGACTTATAGAAGATGCCCAGTCTGAGACAATATCCCAGACGCAAGAAAAATAAGCACTGCTCAGCAATTAACTCAACTCCCAGTATATCCATTACTTATTATGTTTTGTATAAATTCTCTATTTTTTTTATATATATATGTAATAAACTTTTGTAGCCAATTTCTTTTAACTAAGCATTTTTATTGATTCAAGCAAAAGACTGTACACAAACAGGGTTATTCAGTGGGTTTGGTGTATAAATAATGCCTCTGCATGGGCTCAAAGGGTATTCACCATAGCCACTACAATTAGTTTTCTGCGATTTAGTATCCCATTTTAAAGGCATTTTATAAAAGTTTCTATAAGAAATTGCCACTTTTTAAATTAATTGACTAATGGAACATCCCCTGGCTGTCAATCAAGCAGCCAAGGAGGTTTGCTTTCTACTTCCGATAGCTTCTCTGAGCTAATGAAAGTGGCTGCGTACTCTACTTAAAGCCCTCTCATCCTATCATTTCTATCCAAAGTTGGATGCTGATGTACATATTTACTTCCCCATTAGTCAAGCCATATCAGAGGGGCATGGATTTATGCATTGGTTCAGCCCTTGTTTGTGTCAAACTACACAAACAAGGCATGTCAGTAAGCAGAGAGACAGGGCTCAAAGGCTATGCACCATAACCACTACAATGAATTGTACTTGTTATGTTGCTTACTTTGTCCCTTAAACTTTTTGGATTATTTAACCCCTTTACTTGCTTTTGTAAGATCACAGCAACTACAGCACACATTTTGTAGTTGCTGAGACAATAAGCATGAGAAGCTGCCTATAGGTTCTGCTGCTCTCGCCTGTCACACAGTTTCCATAATAGGGGGTAATCCCATTAACATAAAGCTCTAAGGAAAAAACTAATTGTTAATACTACGCAGACGTACATTGGAGGCCTGTAATGGATGCAGGAGAGAAATTGCCTGTCAATGTTATTCACGAAAGCGTTCAACGTGAATTTCAAATGTAAGGTGACAATAGCCAAAATGGAAAAATTATCTAAGTCTGCTATGCTTTCAGTACAGTTATTGTGGCCTTGAAGTTGAAATTAACTTTGAATTCACACTTTAGTGAACAACCCTGTAAATATTTTAGACATGCAGAGATCTCCGTCTTGCTGCACAGGTCATATCTCTGGAGGTTGCAGAGATATATGATGGGTGGGTTTCTCAATTTCCCAGTGAGCTACACCATCCGTTTTATTTATTTTATTTTTTATTCTATCACCACTCATGCCTTATATAGGGTTTTTTTCCGGGCCTCGATGTCATCTGCGACGTGGTGTGGGGCATTGGTGACATTACTCCTGGTCGAAGCTACGATGCAAAAGTCCTGTAAAGCCGTAGTTAACTCCTTAAGGACCAAACTTCTGGAATAAAAGGGAATCATGATATGTCACACATGTCATGTGTCCTTAAGGGGTTAAAGATATGGTCATGGAACAGATCCCAGTGCCATTGCTGACATGGACAGTCACGGAGGGGGCGTGCCCAGTATACTCTCCCTGTTTAAAGCCATTTTCATCACAGAAATGCCACTCATATCTTACTGTGCCTCTTCTGACTGTGATCCAACTATTTGACTGGAATTTTACTAATTTATTTCATTTCTCCTGTCTATTAATAGAAGATTATCGCCTCTGCTAACACTCCGCTATCTTGTTGCCCTGTCAACCTTACCTCTCAGGCCTGCAAGTTAGTCGTGTTACTGGAAGGGTGTGCTTAGCTTGTATTACTTGACAATTGTAAAGGTTTATCTGCTCCCTCACAGAAAATTATTAAAGGGTTACTCCCAGCATCATGACCACCGGTGATTTGAAGTGGTCATGGTACCTGAAGTCTGTGTGTGCAGTGTTTCACTATGAAATGCTGCACATTCAGATTTGAACCCCTCTGTTGCCTGGAGGTGTAACTCCACCTCCAGCAGCATCACAGGGGTGTCATTGGCCAGCCTGTAATTAGAGGTTTGGGCTGGCTAATGTCAATTTTGTGCAATTTTCATTTCACAGTATTGCATTCATTGGTTGAGAGCAGTCAGCTGATGTTCTCAACCAATGAATGGTGATGTCCCAGAATCACGTCACCAGAAGACCAGGGAGCCTTAGAGCCTGGTCGGGAACCCAGTTGGGGGGGCAAACCATTACTAAGCGGGCTGTAGTGGCTATGATGATTGGAGTAGCACTTTAATGATTAAATATATTGGCAATATATTTTTGTTTATCTCCAGTAATTGCATTATATTTGCAACATCAGAACAGTTGCAAATAAGTGTTTGTTAACTTGTTAGAATGAAATAAGAGAAATAAAGGTAATCAAGGGCAACGCTTAAAATTTCAACTCAAGTCAAGACAAACCTAAAGATTACATTCAACTGCAAGCCTGGAAAATTCACCACGGTTGAATTTCTATCCACCATGGCTGACTTTCTACTCGCAAATGGCTAGTGAGTGAGTGGAACTTTTGAGTCCTGCAAGGGTATCAATGGTGTTTAAACTAGCAAGTGTAAACGATAAATTGGTGATTGAGAGAATCAAAATGGTGAATTACTTAATAAAGTCAATAATTAAGGTATCATAAAATCCAGTCTTTCCAGAGTGATTGGTAGGCGTTTATGTTGGATGAACGAGGTTATTTCATACATTTAAATACCAGTGATAGTCAAAGGTCGTTTGTTTTATTCCATCTGGTTAGAATTAGAGATGTCGCGAACTACTCGCCGAACTGTTCGCGAACTGTACACCGGCGAACAATAGCGTGTTCGCGTTGGGCGAACATATACAATTTCCGGTCCGCCCCCTATTCGTCATCATTGAGTAGACCCGGAACCTCACAGTCAGCAGACACATTCCAGCCAATAAGCAGCAGACCCTCCCTCCCAGGAAGTGTCTGCTGACTGTGAGGTTCCGGGTCAAAGTTTACTCAATGATGACGAATAGGGGGCGGACAGGAAATCGTATATGTTCGCCCAACGCGAACACGCTATTGTTCGCCGGCGGACAGTTCGCGAACAGTTCGGCGAGTAGTTCGCGACATCTCTAGTTAGAATGAGAGATTTGATGGCCATCACAAGGAAGGGTATACAGGTGGATTTTATGTTGTGATAGGGTAATCATGGTGAAACAAGATAGCTTATGCAGGAGATTAAAGGGACACTCCAGTGCCAGCAAAACAAAACGTTTTCCTGGCACTGCAGGTCCCCTCTCCCTCCCACCACCCATCCCATGTTGCTGAAGAGGTACTTACCTGAGACCCCCGCCAATGTCCCTCGGCGGTGGTTTCGGGTCTGCCCACATTCCTCCCCCGCCAACGTCATCCAGCGGAGACCGATTGTGCATGCGCGGCCGCCGGCGGTGGAGACCGCATGCGCGGCATTGCTTCCATTGCTTTTTCTATGGGGAATTGAACGACGCTAGAGGTCCTCACATAGCCACTAGAGGAGGAGTTAACCCTGCAATGTAATTATTGCAGTTTATGAAAACTGCAATAATTACAGCTGCAGGGTTAAGGGTAGTGGGAGTTGGCATCCAGACCACTCCAATGGGCAGAAGTGGTCTGGGTGCCTGGAGTGTCCCTTTAAAAGCCATCATATGATGGGGTATGCTAAAATAATTGGACAGGACCACCACATAGGTTTATTTCACACCATGAGCAGGTTGTGGGGGTAGGGAAGTCTTAAGCATGTATGTTTGTATTCTTTTTGTTCTTTCATAAATTATCTCTAGCTCCACACAAATATTTTGCTTTGCTCTCCCCTATTCCTACATACATTCATAATAAACTAATTTAATCTTCCCTTAATGGAACTTCTTTATCAATAATTCAGGATTTTCAAAACCTAATTATTACACTGCAAACTAATGAAAATAATAACAACAACAAAAAATTAGCTTGGTGATTCTTTTAGAACATATAGCTATAAACCACCTGCACTCTACAAGCACCCAGTATGCAGGGTAACAGCAGGGTCTGCGTAAACCCACGTGGGCACCACTGCAGCCATGGGCTGAGCCGAGCGCCATGACTTCTGGATAGAAGCCGACGTCACTGAACAGTGACAGCAAAGATGGCGGCGCCCTTAGTGAGAGCTGCAAGAGCACCCATAGCAGGACGGCTGCTGAGTACCTCCGGTAATATAAACGGGAGAGGAGGAAATACCGCTCACAGGACGTAGTAACTAGTACAGAATCACGATTAAAAACCTTATCTGAAGCTTAAGGAAGTGGGGGGTTACTGACCAGAGGGAGCATTAAGGTTAGGGGTCAGTGAGGGAGGAGGTAATATGCATTTTATTGGGCTGGGTTTGACCTCTCACAGAAAAATTCAAATATAAAGGATTAGGCATGGTTGGTAAGCAGGGAACGATCAGTAATATTGGGTGTGTACCTAAAGAATGGGAGGGGGTGGGGGCTGTGGCAGACAGGGAACACCGATTGAATGAAGTTAAATTACAAATAATAGTATACACCAGGGGTCTCTTTAAACTCCGGCCCCCACCCCCCAGATGTTGCTGAACTACAACTCCCATGATTCTCTGGCTATCTATGTAATTCAAAGAATCATGGGAGTTGTAGTTCAGCAACACCTGGAGGGCCACAGTTTGAGGACCCCTGGTATACACTGACAATCTGGGATTACTTGTTTTTTTTTTGGTTAAAGCTAGAAGGCATTATGGCAAATTGTCTTTTTATTGATTGCATGCACAGTATGAATAATTTATCCTTTTTTTTTTTATTTATTTTTTTTAGCTTCTTTATGCAAACGAGCTGCACCCCTGGGCCCTCTCCCAAATGATCAATTTGAAGGTAAAGACGTGGAGTCGTTGGAGAAATATAGAAGCATAACCCGATATTACAAAGTAGCCGAAGCAGCGAGCAAGAAACCAAGTTGGTGGAAAACATACGAACACTACCAGCAGACAAACGCAGGTAAACCGCCATGATGAAATCATCGATAGTTGGTATGTTTTTGTTTTGCAATTTTAGTGAGACTGAGGTTATATAGTCTCCATGCAATGCATGTAGATTCTGCCCTGCACTGGAATGGGTAACACTGTATATAATTCTCATTTAAAGTTTCACAGAAAAACAGATCTTAAAAAAAATACTCTCTTAATACCTTTTGTACCTATGTTATAGACCTGGGCTCTAGCAATTGCTAGATCTCCAGCTGTTGTAGAAATTTAGTTTGTAGCCTAAAGGGTGCTAAACATCATGGGAGGTTTAGTTCTGCAACAGTTGGGGTTCTGCTTTATGGCCACCCATGTTTTAGTCATATGAATAGATATAAAATAAAAAGGTTATTAAAAATGATGCGTTTACTATATAAATATATTTAATATTGCTTATTACATAATATTATTATTTTTATTTTTTTGAATTTTTTATTTTTGTTGTGCATGGTTTGACAGTAGGATATACGTTGCCACAACAGCAAACATAATCACATCAATAACATAGATGTACACATATGTGGCATAGAAGTGAAAGCACATTTTTAAAACATTTTTTAAACGTAGTAAGGCAATCTAGTGGCATATGTTATGCAAGTATCAACAATAGTTAGATTATGGTAAGGCTTATGGCATTGCTTTTCTGAGAAGGGTAAATATTTATGCCATAGTGACAGCAGCTTAAAGTCAGATAGTAGTAGTCAGAGAAGAGACAAAAAGGGAAAGCATTGGATGTACATTCTTCTTAGCAATGGATTTTTAACGTTGTGAATCATATATGTCTGCATGTAAGACCAAGTAGAAAATTTATAAGCAATAGACCACTGACATGAGGGGTATTAACTTAAATGGTCGTGTGAGCCAGTAGGCAAGTGACCACTGGAGTCGAGCAGGACCCCGCGCAGCTACAAAGCTCTGGGTGGGGTCTGGTGGGGAGAAGAGGCCAAAAAGGGCAAAGTGGCAGCGGTGTACCGCTGTGCATCTTAGGTCTGAATCTGCCAGTGGGTTACGTGTAGCTGCTGTTTCTAACAAAGTCCACATGTTTTGGGACTGCGGGTGTCTCTGTGCTTGCATGCCAGGATCGGTCTTCCTAGACCCCGGTCTGGTACCCCAGCTGCTCGGCACATAACGAGAGAATTGAGGTTCGTCCTGTTCCGACTGCTTAGCTCCAGTTGGTAGATACACGCTGCGAACATGTCTCCGTTGCTCGCCACGTGTGTCCGGCCCCCCCCCAGAGAGGGTCTGTTGCGGGCGGCGGATCCAGTTACTTGCACGGTCTCCCTCTCTCCCAGCGCTGTATCACTCGAGTATCTTGCTTTGGGGACCTCCGCCGGAGTGGTTGGCTTGGTTGCAGCTTAGAGAGACTCCGTGTTGTAGGGGTAGATGGTGGAGAGTCAGAAGCTGCCGCCATCTTGCAAGGTTAGCCTCGGATGTTACTTGTGCCCCAGTCTCCCCACCTCTCTTCTCAGTGGGGACCGGGATGACCCCCCCGGCCCAAAGGGGGGGGAAACGGGACCGGCAAGCTGCTCTGGCAATCAGCGTGTGGCAGCTGGGAAGGGAGGCCTGGCAGCGGCCGTCCACCTTGCTCCCCTCCCGAGTAGGCCGCAGCCCTCGAAGCTTCGGTCTTCCACTATGGGGTCCAAAGCTCCCGATCTCAGGGTCCGCTACCTCTCCCACAGCCGTGTGTATTTCGTAGGCTTGTCGGTCATCATAATAATCTGCCATTTGTAGCTTAAGAGGCCCGATCGCTTCGGAGCCTCTCCTGCATGCGACCGGTTAGCATGGCGGTCCGGCCCCGCCCCCCTACATAATATTATTTATATTTTTTTTAATATTCCCATCTGTTTGGTCTTCTCTCTGTGTGGAGCATCTTCATTTGGTTTCATGCTTTGCAATACTGTGGTACTTTGTTGCATATCATATTATGTTATTCTATGTTTTAGTATTGCATGCTTCATGCTAACGATCGCTATTTTTTTTTTTTTTTTTTAGTTGATGTAAAAGCAGTTGTGGACATAGGATTCCCAGTCTCTAGGACTTCTTTTGTCAAAAAGGCAAAAGCCAGAAAAGAATTGCTGAAGGAGAACCACAGAAATCTGGAGTTGGAGAGGGCCTCCCGCCACCGAACATGTGTGTTACCTATATTGCCACTTTGTCACAATGATATGTGCACAATTTTGATGTATTATGACTCCTCACCCCATTGCTTTAAGAAGCACATTCAAATAACAAAAATGTAGCATGTTTAAATGTGTTTTATGCTTTATGAACCTGGGGTGATTTTCTTGAAATTATAAAGTTTTCTGGTAATTTTAAAGACTTTACAAATGACTAAATTTGAAGGGGGAAAAATAAAAGAAATTACTGTATAAAAAAAACATGCAACTAGCGGTGTGCAGGAATAAGTGGCAGATTAGCGATGATATAAATGTAATAATGGTTAAGGATAGATAAGAATTGAGTACTGGGCAAGGATCCCATACAAACATTTTGAGAAATTTTATTAAGGTTGTCCTAACATTTTGTGTGTACTGCATTACAGCTGTTTCTAAACCTTGGTCCTAATTCCTATTTAAAACTCATATTTATATTTAGTTCACTTCTAAATTATTGTTCTCGCAACTCTTAGAATGCTCACAACTTGCATGTAAGCACAGGCATTATTGTCCTTTTTTTTTTGGCAGATTTGCAATTCTACATTTATAACAGCATTGTGTGGCAAGTTGGACATTGTTACTCCTGCTTGCACTTAGCATATACATGAACATCTATGTGTTTTTCTCTTTAGTGCAAATTCCACTGGATGAAGTTCGAGAAGAATGGGAAAGGACCAGTGGACCATTTCATGTACAGAATGTGGCCAAGCACTATGGAGTTTACAAAGACCTTTTTGGAGAAGCTACGTTTGTTCCCAGTGTCCCACTGAAGGTCTACTACAACAAAGGAGAAGAGTTTGTTTTACCTGTTCACTATGGGAATATGGTGACTCCTTCTGAGGTTGGTACATGTGTATATATTGAGCAGCCAACCATGATAGGATCTAAATCTAACCAAATGTCATGTCTTTCAGGCTTCTACACCTCCTGAGGTGACATTTGAAGCAGAACAAGACTCACTGTGGACTCTGCTACTTACCAATCCAGGTTAGTTTCTAGGAAGAAAATTATTTAACTGAGGCAGTCAAATTGTAGATAAGATCTCAAATACCAGGAGAAAATCATCAAAGCAAATATCAAATTAGTGCTTTATTTAAAAAAAGAAAAAGTGATTAACAAATATTGCCCCACTGGTGTCCTATTTCTATCTCTCTACTTTTCGCATTAAAATTAATGACTACAGTTTTCATTCTTCTGCATTCATTTCCCTACTCATAATACTAATTCTTTGCTGTTGCTCTCCCTGCAAGTTAGTGGTATACATATTAGCCCCTTCCTGCCTTGATGTTCTCTTTGATTCTGACCTCACCCTTATACCTCATACCAAGTTTGTTGGCAAATCCTTCCATTTCATAAATATTGAACGCATCTTCTGTTTTCTTACCCAAGATGTTACTAAGGAGCTTGTTCATTCTTCTCACATTGTTTACCATAATTCTCTCCAACTGGGCTCTCCAGAAATTATACTGCTTTCTACAGTCTATAAAGAATGCTGCTGCCATTTTTCTCTCCAGTCACTCCTCTTACACGTCACCCCTCTGTCAATTGTTACATTGGCTTCCTGTGCCCCATAAGATTCAAGGTTGAGGTCCTCCTCATCAGGGATGTTAAAAACAGACTAGTATATTCATTTTATTTGTGCTGTTTTTGTCTATTTATTTTTTTATTACATAGTTGTTGGCAATACTTTTGCAAATTGTATATATAAATGTCAGTATATCTGTATCTGTAATCTGTACTCCCTGGTAAGTAGTTTTGCTCAATGGCCATTTGTTTGAGTGAGGCTTTAAAACTGTAATTCACCACTTAAAAAATTTATTGAAATCCTTGACATATTGGGCATTTTAGCCATCAGGAAAAATTAGTAACTCTGTTTTGAATTAATTTTCTTTAGTTGCACTTGTGTAGGATTTATTACATTTAAATAAAGCTTTTCATATTTTTTTTCCTTCTAAATATTTTTCATTTTATAAATATATTTTATGTTCAGTAAGGAAGCCTCAGACTGGGCACCAGTGTTAGCTGATTACTAAATCTCAATTCAGAAAACTCGGTGAGAAATGTTGGCACCTTTAATCTCTCGACGTAAGATGGCACCCAGGACCTCCAACCACCGTGTCCACTTATTTGAGAGAGTCAGAGTATTCCTTAAGCGGACGAAGATATTTGTCATAAAAGAGACCCAACATATTTGTTGTGAATTAGTCTGTGGCCCATAATGTAATCAAAAACTAAATTGATTTCAGTATGGTATATTCAGGAGGGGTTCAGAAACAATCCCTCAAGATAAACATTTCCCAACTTACACAATGTTTTTTTTTTGACATATGGTGGCAGTACGTATGGGTTGTGCTTCCTAATTGGGACAAGCATCTGCAAGATAGGTGATTAAGAAAAGTACCTCCCCTTTACCCTATAAACGGCTTTCCTGGCAAACCCACCACAGTTCTTCCTTGTCCCAGAACAGGACGGATCAATAGTCTGCTGGAGGTGAGGCACACAGGTTGCTGTCTGGGGCAGGAAGCCCGATAGCCACCCAGGTGGTAGACTGAGCAACATGGTTCCGTCCGTGGAGGTTCCGGAGCCCTTTCTGTTTAACCTCGTGCCGAGTATGTTCTGGCTTGGTGAGTATGGGGGGGGCGGGGGACACCTTCATTATGTTGCAAGCCATGCGCCTGCACACAGCGGTGGAACACACGCCCGAGTGGTGTTGCATTCCACCAAAGTTCCGGGTGCGCTGTTGCGGATGCGCAAACCGGAACTTCCGGGAAACCGCAGAGTTCGGATCGCTGTGCTGTTCCCTCTGGTAGCAGGAAGCTTGTCAGAAGGGTTCCCCGTGTCACCAACCCCCCACACGGCTTAGAGGTTTTCAAGGTAAGGTTAGCTTTTGCCTTGAAAATCTGTTCTGATTAAAATTGCAAGTTATGGATGGAATTGTTTTGCAAGTGGACTGTATGTGCAAAATAGACTGTTTGTACAAAGTGGAATGCCTCTACTATACAAGGCTTTTGCTTATTGTATCTGTACTACTCCCCTTAATATGGTTCTAGGGTTTATAAATATGACCAAGATGCTGCAATTTCTTGCATAAAATTAAGCAGTGAAAATGCAATCATTCCTACCATATAGTGAATCAAATAGTGTATCAGCTGCTCTGCCTGAGATGTTCCGCAGGTACCGAAGAGAAGCGTCCTTCGATTACTCCTAATGTCTCGCGAATGTTAATATACCTCTTCTTAAGACATGTCTGGTACATCATACTGTGTGGAGTTGGTTCCCACCTGACGTACTGAAGTGGTTTATTAGGAATGAATCGGTCATAGGGCAGGATATGTCTGCTAACCTTTAATGAGTGTTATCTGTTCCTCAAACGTCATGTCTGTCTTATGTGCAGAAATGGGACCACTCTGTGTAACGAGCCTTTCTTGCCCAACGTTTAATATGTTTACCATCAAATGGGTAAATGTTACACCGCCAGGTACACTGGGAATCCATAAAATTCTGCAGAAGTAGCTGCTTTAAAAACCCTGTCGTCAAGAAGGCAGAGTCCTCTTATAGACTGCTGGTTTCGGTGTGGGTCTTTGCTGTCAGGTGCAGCAGTGTCCAAAACGTATAATGTTGTTTACAATCATTAATGGAGGTTATTTAAGTCTCCTAAAAAGCAGCTCGTCTGTTTTCTGTTTTATGTGTGATTATCACATATTTTATATGGATTTGACAATGACTGCCAAGATCATGAGTTGATCTGCTGTTTCCCTTAAATCGTGGTGGCTTAAGCTTGGACAGCAGATCAGCGTCCTTTTCGGTTCCCTGTTGACTCCCATTAGGTAAAGGGGTATCTTTTATAACCGAAAAAGGAAAAAAGCTCTGCCTCATGACAAGTAGAACTGGGTCCGACATGGGTAGGCGTTTCGGATGCCAAGAAGCTTGGAGGCGTAATCCTGCATTTCTATACGAAGTGTGGATAGCTTAGTGGGTTTAGACCTTGTTCAACCCTTGGGGTTCACAGGTTCGTTTCACCTGCAGGGTTAACTCGGCCCTTCATCCCTTTGAGGTAGATGACTGGAGTACCATTCAATGCAGTCACTTAACATTCCCAGGATGCATTTGGGAACCAGTATTTATCTTAATGTCTCTTGCCTGGCTTTTAAGTGGAACCTACTTGCAATCACTGGTTGCTTGATCTAGTTAGAGGGCACCGCTTGCTCTTTTAAAATCTGCCCAATCCATAATCTTCCGAATAGTCTATTTACAGAAAGAGTGTTCCCTGTTAGATTCAAGGAGTTTGTTAGTTATCAAACTGATCATTCCTTTAAACCGGTTATGAATTTAAATTAGTGAAAAAATTGAGAAGTGTCCTCTATCCAATAAAGCAGCTATTCACCAACAAGGAGTTCCTTTTACCTTGTGAACAATAGAACAAAACAAGCTAGTAAATTAAGTGGACAGTGCTAAGAATTATTATAATATCATACATACAAAGGTAGCAGCAGATTTCGCAATTATGTTTCTTTCTCTTAAAAAAAAAAAAAAAAAGGAAATAAAAGTAAAATGATAGTGCAGTATGTTGTGAATAATATGGTGATAAAGATATATTCCAAAGGGGCACTCATGTTTTCCAGAGTTTAAAAAGCTCTATTTTAGGAGCCTGGATGGAACAATCCCCGTCTAAGGATTTCTTTTTGCTGTTATCAGATTCCCAAGGTAGTGCAGTTCATCATATGAAAAAAATAAGGATGTATACCAATGGTACAGTACGTATGTAAAAGTAGGATAAGTAAATAATATTAGACCTACTTACATTTGCTAGAGCAATGACCTGCTCTAGTGTATGGAGCTTTAGGTGGAGCAATCCCCACCTAGGGATATATGTAGATCCGGAACAGCAGAGGGATGGTGAGAGTATAAGGAGCTCAAGAGTGACTGGGTATTAAGACAGAATCTTTATTAATAAACAGAATAAATAAAACTATTTAAAAGTGAACTATAAATAAAACCAGTCCTTGTAGGCAATCTTTAATCTCCACTTGACATGTTTCGCTTACAGCTTTCTCAAAAGTGAATCAATTAATTTAAATTAATTGGTTTCTCTCCTGAGGTTCAGAATTGAAACTTCTGCTTCTGTAACTCTGATTGTGCAGAAAGGAATTTCATGGTGTATATAGATCACAGAGATATATTCCCACATATCCCTATTGCAGCCCCTCGAGGTTTTCTGAAAATACGCCATATTACGTGGATTGTAGAGATTTCATTGCTCTTCAAAACACTCCCATTACAGCATATTTTAGGGAACGAGGCATTCCTTACTTGGCAGTTTGGCTACTTAATGCTAATCGGGACGTTTGCCCTTTAAAGGGACACTCCAGGCACCCAGACCACTTCTGCCCATTGGAGTGGTCTGGGTGCCACTAGGCATTAGGTCTCCATGGCCGGCGGGATCAGTCTCACCCAACCAGCTGACGTAATGAAGAGGAGGAGGAGCGTCGGTGACCCGAAACCACCGCCAAGGGACATCGGCGGGGGTCTCAGGTAAGTGACTGAAGGTTTTTTCACCCCTTCAGCAACCAGGGATTGGGAGGTGGGAGGGAGAGGGGACATGCAGTGCCAGGAAAACGGATTGTTTTCCTGGCACTGGAGAGTCCCTTTAAGTATGTTTGGGTAGCAAGCAGAGCGCTACAGCAACACTGTTGGATACGGAGGCTATAAAGTATTTTCTTCTTCTCCAGGGAACATAGGGTTTTTTTGAGGTTCGTGTTAACATTAAAACGTTACCTCTGCATCTACTGCACTCATAAAGGAAAGGTCCAATTACTTAAAAAAACAAAAATTTGTCCATAAGGCCAGGAAATTAGACTGGGATGGGATGTCTGCGGTTAACTGGGCAAAATCTAGATTTGGCGGCTACAGTGGAAAATTCTCTCCTCTGGGTCAAAGTGTGGAAATCTTGGATTTCTGTCTCCTAGACTCTCTTTGAAAAAAGCAGAAGCTGTCCTTTCTGCCTATAGAAGGAGTAATTTTCACCACAGAATGTATCTAACACAGGCTCGGTCGCTCGTCTAAATTCTCTAATGCCAGCGTTCTTGGTCCTATGAAAAATAGTCCACTAATTTCAGAGCTCTTAAGTCAGTTCTTCACTCCCCTCATCGATTCATATCTTGGTTGATTGAGGGACCTATTACAATGCGGTCAGACCACGACACTGTTTCCCTCACGTCAACAGATAGGGCGGTGCCAGAGGCAAGGTCTGTTTCAGCTATGTACCAAAACGGTGTACTGGGCTCAGAATTTCTGGGAGGTCCTCTCTCCATTCCACTCATGTGTCGACAATGTCGTCACCTACAACCTCAGCACAAGAAATTGGAATCAAGAGTAAGGATCTATAGATTTGAACATGTTCACAGTCTACAGAGAGATTTGGAGTGCCCGGATAGACCTTATGGCAAAGAGGGAGAACATGAAGATTCTCAGGTTTGCCTCTCTGTACAGGACAGATAGTTCACATTGAATTGTTGGTCTATCTAAGGGTATTTCTCCGGGCTTAAATTTTTGTTTTTGTCCTAAAGACTGTTCCTAAGACTTTTTCAAAGAGGTAACGGACAGAGCAGTGGTTCTACCAATATTTCTGTACTGGCCAAACACAAGCCAGTTTTCGGCCTTGGTGGGGATGAGTTTCAAGTTTGGGGATCTTCCGATTTCAAACACTTTTGGAAGACAGGACATCCTTCAAGTGTTGAATAGGTTCTTATTGACGGTAGGGCACTGCATGGTGGATCCTTCATCTCTTGAGTCAGAGTCAGTTTGTTGCATATAATCTTCTGGTCGTTCCGCCTCTAACCTTTACCTGAGGATTTGGGTAGAGTGTCTAGATTGTTGTAAGGAACATCATTGAATTCTTGTTCATTTGTCCGGTTGGTTCAAATTTACACTTCCTGCAGGAGATTTCCACAGGTTGGGCGTTTCCATGTTAAGACCAAATTGTATTCCCCAAGTTCTTTCTGAGAAGGGATTGGTTTTTGTATATACTGGTTAGAAGTTTCTTCAAAGCAATAGGCTTCTTAGGCAACCCAGGAAGTTCTGTTTCCCTCCTGGGATCTTACTTTAGTCTTTCAGGGCCTCTTTTACTTTGGAGGTGGTTCCTTTTAATATGCTAAAGCTTAACCAGCATTCTTAGTGGCCATTACCTCTGCCAAGAGAGTAAGTGAGCTTCAGGATTTATCCTTCAGTGGAATTTCTTATATTTCATCAGGGTAAAAGTTGTTTCATCCTAAAACGTCAATTCTTCCAGAGTTATCTTTTAGAGACGTTAATCGGCTCAACCTTCTATAATTATGCCACCTCCCTGCTGGAACTATATGGCATATTCTAGGGTTAAAAAAGGGCATTTCAGATGTACCTATGAATATCAGCCGAATTCAGAATATTAGGCAAAGGCAATGGTCACTTAGTGGGCAGAGAAAAGCTCTTGCTTCACCCAAATAAATCCACATGGCTGCTTCTTGGTCAGCTTTTAGCCCCTAACAAAACATCAGGCATTTTCCGGCTAGATGTACTCTCGGCCTCTAAAATTGTGTTAGGACGTAGGTTCTTCAAGCTGTTTCTTCATAAGGCCCACCCGATTGGGAATCTTGGTATATCCCATACGTACTACCACCATATTTCAGAAAAAACAGAAATTTTTACTTACCGTAGATTTTTTTTTTTTTTTTTCTTCTTCTTAATATGGTGGCAGTACAAATCTCCCTCCCTCTAAATTACAATTTTGCTCACAGTGTGTGGCTTTAGTGTGTATTCTTGCTACGACTGAGGTGGGTTTGCCCGGGAAGCCCTTTATAGGGTAAAGGGGAGGGACTTTTCTTAATCACCTATCTTGCAGGTGCTTGTCTCAATTAGGAAGCACAACCCATACATACTGCCACCATATTAAGAAAAAAAAATTTTCACGGTAAGTAAAAATTTCTGTTTTTGCTTGGCTGCATCTTCTGCTTCTGCAAACAATATCTTACCGTTTACAGAGACTTATTAAAAAATGGCCATCTGAGTGGAATTTGTTTTAGTTTTCACCTAAGTTTATGATTGCTTTTTCTATAATATTACCACTGTGTTCTTTTTACAGATGGCCACCTGAGAGACACCGACTCTGAATACGTTCATTGGTTGGTGTGAGTATAGGTGATTTGTGGTTACAAAAGAAAAAAACAAAACTGTCTTATACCAACCTTTATGCTTTTTGCTAATCACCTGCTTAAGTTTATCATTTTTTTTCTTTCTTTCTTACAGAGGAAACATCCCTGGTAACCAGGTTCATTCTGGCATTGAAATTTGCCATTACTTTCCACCATTCCCTGCTAAAGGGACTGGTTACCACAGATACATCTTTATTCTCTTTAAGCAGGAAGGGCACATAGATTACAGGGACGATCTGAGACCAAACCCATGGTAAGGAGCACTTTATCTTCCACTTTTGTGTTTGTTTTCTTTGTTTTCGTCTCCTATGTTTTTCATCACTTGTGTGCTGAAACATGGAAAGCAATACAAATTTTTCCCACCCACTTCTCTGCAAGTCACACAGTATAATACTAAAGAGAAACATGGTACAAACCAAGGGCTTATATCACCAATGTTCCTGAATACTTTGTATACTGGTAAGTAGTCTGACTCCAAGCAGGGAACACTAGCAAAAACAGTCTACACCCTGGAGCAGGGGAAGGCAACCTTCGGTATTCCAGATGTTGTGAGCTACATTTCCCTTTGCCAGTATTATAGGAGATGTAGTCCACAACATCTGGAGTGCTTACTGTTGCCTGCCCTAGAGTATCAAAAAGAAAATCCTTAGTCTGTGCAAAAGCACTTTGTCAAAGTCACAAGATTGTGTACTGGTGTTTTACTCCTTCCACAACTTTAGTTCAATCAAATTCTGTAAATTCAGTTGAATTGGTTTTCTTGGAGTCACGGCAGATGTTGTACGCATGTAGTTTCAGATTTTAACAATTCATTTGCATACAGGTTGGCTACATTCATATTTATTTGGAAGTTGTTTTTAAAAAGTTGGGCATTGATCAATCTTATTATCAGTGTCCACATTTTGGTGGCTCCATGGGTGGCGAATAAACCCATCTGTGTCCTTTTTTCTAGTCACAGCTTGAAGCAGAGAACTTTTAAAACATTGGAATTCTACAGGAGACACGAGGACAGCTTGACTCCAGCTAGTCTGGCTTTCTTCCAGTGTAAATGGGAGGAGAGTGTAACCCAGGTTTACCACCAGCTACTGAGTAAGTATTCAGAAATGTCAGTAAAATGGTTACTTTTCTTTTTAACATTTTCCTTTTTTACCCCATTCTATTTATTCTAAACTCTTTATAGTAATGCCATCTCATCCTTTCTCTACATAGATTTGTTACACAATTTGAATCTTTGAGGCTAGTTTCTGCTTCACTCTTCGTCATATGATATTCTAATGTCTTCCGTACCTCTGTTTTTTGTTTTGTTTTCTCACTTTACTCTGTGTTTTTTAGTCTTCTGTGCATTCGTTCCTACTGACTTGTATCTTTCTACCTTTGGACTGTTTTCACGTATTTTTGTCTTTTTTCCCCAAATTACAAAATGGCCCTTTTTGCCATTTAGTCTTTATTTATTCTTTGCTTTCTTTCTTTTTGTTTCTCTTGCCCACAGTCCACTTGCAGCTACTTGATAACCTGTTCTGTCGAATACCCTGCTTTTTGTCATCTTGCTTGTGTTATGACTTCACGTGATTAATTTGAAGCCTTTTTCTTTTTTGTTTTGTTTTTTTCCCTTTTTGAAAAATTCTTTGTTCTTGATTTTCAGACATGAGAGAGCCCATTTTTGAATTTGAACGCCCCCCAGTATATCACCCACCACAAGTGAAATATCCTCATGGCCAACCGCTAAGGTACTTGGACCGATACAGGGATTCTGAGGAGAGCTCTTTTGGGATTTACTGAGAAGGCAAATCCAAGGCACCCAGCTATCAATCCACAGGGGAGCAATGGAACTTGCCTGCTGATGATGATGATCACTTTTTAACTTCAGACACTTCACAAGATGTGTGATTCTGAGACGCTAAGATCTGCCAAATTTCTCACTGCATCTGTTTAAAAGCAATTGCTTAAAATCATAGGTATTTATAATGGCTAAACACAGAGTTTCCTATTAGGAGTCAGTGAATTTGTGATCATGGTATTCAGTACGCATCAGCTGAAGAGGGTTAAAAAAAGACGACAACACTGAAGTCTGAATTGTGAGTTATTATTTGAAACTGAAAGAGAAATAACAATTATGTGATACTCCTGAAGGCTGTGGAGATGTCTGTCATGGTTTTGTACGTAATTTAAAAATTAAAAGTATCTTCTAAAATATTTGTCTTGGCTTTATTATATAATTGGTAAAATAGATACTGGCGTGAATGGACTGCAAGCTCACTCTCTGCGGAGCCCTCAATGGGCGAAGATGGATTTGTTTTTTTGGGGGAGATGGGACATAAATGGGTTTTTATTTAGCCTTATTCTTGGAGCTGAAGAAAAAAGTTTTCCGAAAGAAGTATTATTTTTATTGGACCCCCTTACTATTAGGTGGGGAGTAGGCCGGTATTTTTGGTTGGAAGTGCATTTACTAGGGGCTTGGGGACCCTTTTTATTATAGTCTTTTATTAGCATCAATAGCTCGTTGTTAATCTTTTATGACCACTCACTGTATAGCAGACATGCCTCTACCTGGGGTGTAGGTGCATGAATGAAGTTGTAACCCTCCCTTAGAATTAAATGGTGGTCATATTGTCCCTCATAGCATTTTATTTCCTGCTGCTTCCATTTTTAACCCCTCACTTGCTGGCAGTAAAAGGTTAAAAATGAAATGGAACTTAACAAATTTTGTTCACAATGACAATGTACGAATAAAATTCAGACAAACCATGGATGAAATTCTGTTGGGATGAAAAGTTTATTCGATCCAAAATTTGTGTCTGTCCACTAGTCTAATGGTAAGTTTTTTTCCTAAAAGATGTGATTTCCTAAAGGACTGGAGGCTGGGGGACAGTCTGATGTCACGAGGTAGGACATTCCAAAGGAATGGGGCAGCCCAAAATGGAGAGTTGGCAGTGCGGGAGAAGGTCGTTCTTATCCAGGTGGAACCTGGTTGATGACAAGGTTACTGTTAAGGAATGCAGCATATATTACCAGTCATTTGGGAAAGCATTGGATATTGTAAAAATACATGGTTCAGAGGTTACAGACTACCAGGTAGTGAAGATAAAATAACAATAAGGGAGATACAAGAGCTATTTGGTCTCCTTACATTTGTCATGTAGGCTCTTTAATAAGATTTAATCAGACTTCATTTCATTCTGACAGGCACTCCACATATGTTTTTAATACAATATGTAGGTTAAAGGGATACTCTAAGTACCATAATTGCTACAAACTGTCATGCTTATGATGCCAAGAGTCCTCTAGTGACAGGTAAGTGTCAAAACATGTAAATTATTTGACAGCTAACTGTGGTTATGGTTAAGTAGTTTTTATTAGATTTTCTCCATAAACCAATCCTTTCAACTTCTACTCTCCATCTTGTGTTTTCTGTTATTGCTCCAAAAGTACTTCTGTACATGATGTCACGATCTGGGTTTCTGGGATGTGTCATTCAGCTGTTGGTTTTCACTTGAACTGTCTGTTGGAAAAGTTCAGTATTGCGCCTTCCCTCCTGTGGTGCAGAAGGGGTTAAGTACCCCTTCTGTCACTTACCTGGGTTCAGCGCCGATGTCCCTTGGCGCTGGCTCAGCTCTGCCCACGCTTCTCAATGCTTTTCTATGGGGATTCTACTGACGCTGGAAGCCCTCATGCACACTGGGCAAATACCTGGTGGCCCGAGAATCATGAGGCAGTTGTATCCAGTAAAGTGATGTTCTGTGGGAAAAAGACTTACTTTAAAGGACCACTCTAGGCACCCAGACTACTTCAGCTTAATGAAGTGGTCTGGGTGCCAGGTCCAGCTAGGGTTAACCCATTTTTTCATAAACATAGCAGTTTCAGAGAATTATATGTTTATGAATGGGTTAAGCCTTCCCCTATTTCCTCTAGTGGCTGTCTCATTGACAGCCACTAGAGGCGCTTGCGTGCTTCTCACTGATTTTCACAGTGGGAGCACGCCAGCGTCCATAGGAAAGCATTCATAATGCTTTCCTATGTGACCAGCTGAATGCGCGCGCAGCTCTTGCCGCGCGTGCGCATTCAGCCGACGGGGAGGAGAAGAGGAGGATCGGAGGAGGAGAGCTCCCCGCCCAGCGCTGGAAAAAGGTAAGTTTTAACCCCTTTTCCCTTTCCAGAGCCGGGCGGGAGGGGGCACCCTCAGGGCTCTATAGTGCCAGGAAAACAAGTGTTTTCCTGGCACTATAGTGGTCCTTTAACCTGTTCGACGTGGAGGATAACTGCCGAAGGCTGCATGTCCGGTATTCTGACAAATTCTAAACATAGAAAAAAAAGAGGGCTATGTAGTGATGACGTGTCTTTTATGAGGGATATCCCCTGATCTTTAAGTAAACACAAAAACCACACCCTGCACATTACAGGGGTACATGCTCTGTAATATCGCAAAACACACTGTACATTATGGGGAGGCTCTGTAATAAAATAAATTTAAAAAAAAAAAAAGCTCTGTATACACTACACATTACTGGGGGCTCTGTAATATTCCCAGTACACACTGCAAATGGCTCTGTAATATTCCAAGTACACACTGCACATTACCAGGGGTGCTCTGTAATATCTCCGTACACCCTGCACATGGCTCTGTAATATCCATAGTAGACACTGCACATTACTGGGGGTTCTGTAATATTACAGTACACACTGCGCATTACTGGGGACTCTGTAATATCATTGTACACACTGCACATTATTGTAGTCCTGTAATATTCCACTACACAGTGCACATTACTGGTGGGATTGTAACATCCCAGTACACACTGCACATTACCGGGGGCTCTATAATATTCTAGCACACACTGCACATTACCGGGGACCCTGTAATATCCCAGTACACCCTGCACATTACTGGGGGCTCTGATCAGGGCCCGTGCAAGGATTTCTGCCGCCCCCTCATGTCACTCACTGACAGACACATATGCTCACTGACACTTACTGACATACATACACACACACACACTGACAGACATACACTTACTCACTGACAGACACACAGACAGACACTTATTGACAGACATACACACATACATACACTCTCATTTACTGGCAGACAATGACAGTCAAACACTCACTGACAGATACACACACACGCACTGACAGTCAAACACTCACTGACAGACAGACAGACAGACACACACACACACACACACACACACACACACACTCACTGACAGACACACAGACTCAGACATCCAGCCTCTCTACATCCCCGGGTCCATGGGTCCAGTGTGTGGCAGTTCCTCACTCCTCCAGTGTGCTGTTTAGTATGCCTGGGGCAGGAATTACGTCATATTCCGGCTCCCTGCATCATGTGTGTGAGGGAGGAGTGGGAAGCTGCAAAAAGAGCCTCCCTTGTCGCCTGCCTACTCCGTCCCCCTATCCTCCATGCACCGGCATTTGTTGGCAGAGCAGGTACCTGCCATCAAGGTAAGCAGGTGCCTGCTTTGACTTATCTAGCACAGCTTCGGGGGTGCCCTGAGGTGGCCAGATGGCCAACTTCTGGCCCCCCTATTACAGGGGTCCTCCGCCCTCCGCTATTCCAGCTCTGCAGACCCAGACAGGGGGAGCCCACCAGGATATATCGCTTTGATCTCAGTCATGGCTTTAATCTCAGTAAACACTCCATATTACTGGGCGCTCTGTAATATCCAAGTACAACCTGCACAATAATGGGGTCTCTGTAATATCCCCAGTACAGGCTGTACATTACTGGGGGCTCTGTAATACTCCAGTGCACACCGCACATTACTGTAGGCTCTGTAATCCCACACTCTGTAATAACCCAGTACACACTGTTCTTTATTAGGGGCTCTGTCATTCCTTATACACACTGCACGTCATTTGACCCCACTCCCATCTCATTATATTTTCCTATTTACAGTATAACTCACTCACCGCTGGCTCAGTTTGGAGTTGTATTCCACAAAAGCATATGATGAGATTGTCTTAATTTCTCAACCAATGCAGCTCCTTTGGATTGAAACTCTCATCAAACTCAGCCAGATCAACAGCTGTAGATCACAGCTCCAAACAAAGCTCCACAGAAATAATAATAAGAGTAATGTGTCTTTAAATTACAATAAATGTGTTCAGAAATCAGCCTGTGTAAATAAAATACATTGTTCTTGTTCTAAATTACATTTTACATTGCATAAATTATTAGTAAGTCACCTAACATTTTTCAGACCAGCCCTGCCACTGGCCACACCCGTTCTCACACCCCTCTGTGTCCATATGAAATTTTGGGAGGTATGCTGTAGTTAATAGTGTGTAAGTGTGTAATAGTTATGTTCCTAACTTATCATGGGGTAGCTGTATACTTCCCCTCCCTGCAGTCTCCAGCAGCATGTCCACATTACATCATTGCTACAAGCGCTCTGATTGGCTGCAGACTGCACAGACATCTTCTTATGACGTGGTATGACATCAGAGTGCTAGCCATAGTCTGAAACTCACCCTGATCTCATTAATGAGTAGAGGGAGGAGCCAGCTGCAAGACTGACAGGATTGCTCTGATCTCAACATGTGGAGAGGGAGGAGCCAGCTGCAAGATTGACAGGTTCACCTAGCTCTCAATCATGAAGAGAGGGAGATGCAAGCTGCAAGATTGACAGGTTAGCCAGTAGTGTGGATCTATAATAGTAAGATGGGCCTGGAGCAGCAGCTCCACCTCCCCTATGTTAACCTGGGATTGGATGTAGTGTTACGTAAATCTGTTTTGAGGTTTTTTTTCTTTAGGTGCACTTGATGGGAAAAATTTATTCTTTTATTTTTTTAAAGTTTTGTTTATTTTTTCTATTTTCTTTTCATTTTAACATTTTTTTTCATACTAACTCTTATGTTAAGCATTCATTTAGGAAGTTAAACTAAAGTAATTTCTCTTCATTAGCAAACAATATATAATATGTTTGGTGCACTTAACCCCTTAAGGACGGAGGCAATTGTACTCTGATCAAAACAAAATTTGAGGGGGGCGGAGCCTAGACTGCAAGCAGGCAAGATGTGCATCGCACGAGCTCCTGCTGTAAACGCTGCTTACACGGTCTTATCCCAGGCTGACAACTCTGAATCTTCTGCTTGAGTTGAAATTCATGCTCAGTACACCCTAGCCTACTCGTAAGCACCTTTATTGACACTCGCATTGAGAACCACAGCAGC